CCCCAGTTTATAACTTGTCTTTTCATCCTCTTCACATGAGCTTCACATGGAACAAACGTTTTTAATTTTGATGAGGTCCATTGTGTTCTTCCTTTTATGACTTTTGATGTTAAGTCTAAGGACACATTGCCTAGTCTGAGATCATGAAGGTTTTCTATGTTTTTTGTCCAAAAGTCATATAGTTTTATGTTTTACACTTAAGTCCATGATCCATTTTGAGTTCACTGTTGTATAAGCTATGAGGTTTAGGTGAAGGTTCATTTCTTTGCCTATGGACGTCCAATTGCTCCAGCTCCATTTGTTGAAAAAGCTTCCTCCATTTAATTGAGTTTGCACCTTTGTCAAAAATCAGTTGCAGGTATTTGTGTGTGTCTATTTCTAGGTCTTCTGTCAATCTATGTGTCTATCCCTCTAATATCACACTGTCTTGATTACTGTGGCTATAGTTTATGTATGTTCAGACTGTGTTGTTGATGCATATAATTTACAGGTTTAGCTTTCTTGTAAAATTTTTACTTTCCTTGTATTGTAAATATCTTCCTTGTCTAAATTTTTTCATTATGTGGTGACCTTCTTTATCCCTAAAATACTTATTGAATTAAAGCTTATATCGTCTGATATTAATTTGTTTCCCAGATGTCCCTCAATCTCCATTATTCCTTTATTCTTTAGTAATGGATTCATGACTTTTAGCTGGTCACAAGGCTACTGAGAATAAAAACTATATTCCCTCTAAGTTTGGCATAACCATGAAGCTCTGGCCAATGCGATGTAAGCAGAAGTGGGATCTACAACATCTGAAAAATGTCCTTAAAGAGAGATCATGTGACCACTTTTTTGTCCCTTTCTGGAGTGTAGGTGTGATGACTAGAACAAGAGCAGCCATCCTGGGCGAGGTGGGAGCCGTGTATTGAGAATGGTAGAGCAACACGGTACAAAGAGCCTGGATCCCTGGTGATTGAGGAGTGGTATACCCATAGCTTATGTATGGACTTAGTTTATGTGACAAAGAAGTGAGTTTCTACCTGTGTAAGCCACTGTTATGGAGTTTTCTGTCACTTATTACCAAACCTAATCGTAACAAACACTACTAGCTTCATTTTTTAGGGACTTTATTTTTTAAGAGCAGTTTTAGGTTTACAATAAAATCGAGAGGAAGTTACAGAGATTTCCTATATACCACCTACCCCTACACATACATAGCCTCCCCCATTATCAACATCACTCACCAGAAAGTACAACTAGCTTCATTTTCATTTTAGTCATGTGTGGCTGCCATAACAGAGACCCAACTACAGGGGCTTAAGATTTATTTCTGTATTGCATAAAAGTCCAGAGATGGGCAGTCCAGAGCTGATGAGATGACTGCATGGTCACCAAAGACCAAGTCTCCTCGTATCTTTCTCCTGTCTTTAGTGCAGACCTACCATCCTCAAAATCACCTTACAGTCTAGGAAGGCTGCTGCAGCTCTAGCCCTCACTTCTACAATTAATGCAATAGGAAAGAAGCAAGGGAAGACCACAGGGACTTCTCTCAGTTCTCTGTCCACCTTTTAAGGAGTCTTCCCACAAGTACCACCTTCCAAATTCTGCTTATAGCTCATTGATCCAGAAACTAGTAACATAGTCACAACTGCAAAGGAAACTGAAGAATGCAGTTTTTGGCTGGGTATAGTATTTCAGTAATATCAGGGTGCTGTTATTATGGAAGGAAAGAATGGCTATTGGATAAGCAACTGGAAGCCTCTGCTGCACCTGGTATGTATATTTCCATCTCTTTACTCCAGCATTTCTCTGTCCTTATAAGGTTTCTTATAAGCAGTATGTAGCTAGACCTTGTTTTAATCTATCCAGCCAGTATAGTCTGTTTATATTGATTGTGACTTGCCAATATACTTGGGTTTACTTGTAGCATGTAGTCTGTGCTTCTATTTTCCTTGCCTTTTAAATTTTTTTGTTTCTTTTTTCTAGTTTTCCTGTCTTTTATTAGATTGATTAAAGTTTCTTTTCCCGTTTTCTCTTCTACTGGTTTAGAAGCTATAGAATCTCATTCTAATCTTTATTTGTTCTCTTTAATTTTTTAACAGTCATGCATGATCAAAGTCGAAAATTAATGTTTTCTTCCTCCCAAACCAGGGGATTCTAATTACTTTCATTTTAACATACATATTGTCATCATGTAGCATTTTAGCTCCAACGTGTTTTAAACCAGCTCAACACTAGTCATGACTAGTGTTGTTTTATTTTACAGCAATGTTTCCCTAGGTCTTTATTTATTTATTTATTTATTTATACCAATTTTTTTTCTCATCACTGCTTCTTGCACCTACTTCTCAATTTAATTGCCATCTTTTTGAACATCCTTTTGTAGACCTGGGAGTAGTAAACTTACTTGGGCTTTGCTCAGAAATACCTTTCTTTTACCCTCATTCCTTCATGATAGTTTGGCTGTGTATATACTTCTAGGTAAGAGGTCTGATTCCTGACCTCTTTCTGATTCCTGATGTTGCTGTTGAAATCCTCAGTCTGCCTGGTTATTGTTCCTTTTTTGGAAATCTGGCCTCTCTGGTTGATTTTAAGTTCATCTCTTTGTTCTCATCTGTCATTTCACCATAGTATGTTCAGGTGTGGATTTATTTTTATTTATCTTTTCAGGGATGAGGTTTCCTGCATATGAGGATCTGTCTTGGATCATTTCTGGAGAACTCTTGGTCGTTATCACTTGGAACACTGACTCCATTCTCTCCAGTCCCTACCTCTGATTGGATGCATGTTGGACCTTCTCACCTGTCCTCCACGTCCAGCTTCTCTCTCATATTTTGTTCATTTCTCTCTGTGCTTCATACTGGGTAATTTCTTCCCAGCACTTCTCCAATTTACTGATTCTTCCTTCAGCTGCTTCACTCTGCTTTTTAACCATTTGTTCACTTTACTTCAATGCTAATGTTTTTGATGTCTAGAAGCTGCTTTTGGTTCTTTTTATTTTTATTTTATTTATTTATTTTTTTTGCAGTACACGGGCCTCTCACTGTTGTGGCCTCTCCCGTTGCGGAGCACAGGCTCCGGACACGCAGGCTCAGCGGCCATGGCTCACGGGCCCAGCCGCTCCGCGGCATGTGGGATCTTCCCGGACCGGGGCACGAACCCGTGTCCCCTGCGTCGGCAGGCGGACTCTCAACCACTGCGCCACCAGGGACGCCCTCTTTTTAGTTTTTGTAATATCTTGTTCTTATTATTTTGATTCCTACTCTTATATTTACTTGATCTTCATCAAACATTTCATGTGGTTTAGGTTGTTATTCTCTTATCTCAGGTTCCTGGTTGTACATTTTGTTTTGTTCTGCTGCCAGACTCTGGCAGGGTTGTTTCAAACCTCTTCCAGTTTGGTTTGGTTCTGTTTTGTGAAAGAATTCTGTGTGAAAAGAATTCAGAGTGTCCCTAGAGACTGGTTTTGTGTTTGCATCTGCCATTTGCCCCAGGAATATCGCAAGCCTGGGATTTTATACAGATCTCTTGGCTTGGCAGTGCCCACCGAGTAAATTCAGATTTGCTCTAAGTGAGAGGTACAACCACAGCTGTTAGCTTCTCACAGGAGACTCTGTTATCTCACCCACAGGTTCTTGTTTCCCTCCTTTTATGGTGGGTCCTTTCTAGTTAGATGGCTTAGGGTCCTTCAGTCCCTTCTCCTCAACCCTTACCATGGGGCTTTTTACTGAGATGTAGCCCTTTGAAGGTCCCCTCCCCAAGGGTTTGTCTCCTGTCCACATGAGCGTCACAACCCAAAGTCCTTCCTGTTTTCAAGGACATCCTCCCTTCAGCTGTGGCATCAGCCTCTGCACAGGCTGCTCTTCTTTCTGAGGCACAGGGACACTTCTTTCTGTCTTACCATTCAACCAAGCAGTAAAAACATTGAATTACATTTTATCCAGCATTTCTAGGTGTTTGTGATCAGTTTTCACTTATCTGCTTCCTCTCTGAACCAGAAACTCTAAGTTAATCTCTCTAAGCCTCAGTTTCCTCCTCTGTAAAATAACAACACCTCCTTTGTGGGCTTCTTGTGAAGATTTAAATGAGATAAACCAGGTAAAATATGTAGCATGGGGCCTGGCACATGGTAAGAACTCAAGAAATTTAAGTATCATCATTGTTACTCTAGAAAATTTGCAAAGTTTGGAAAAGTGTAAAGAAAATAAATGTGGTACTGTCCACTGAAAATTATGGTTAGCACTGTAATATATTTCTAACCTTTATTCCTATGAATATTCGCACATTACTTATAAGATGATAGGAAGACTGTAATACAACTTTGCATCTGCTTTTCTCATTTGATCAATGCCTTAGTCAGCTTGGGCTGACATAACAAAATACCATGGAGTGAGTGGTTTAAACAACAGACATTTCTTCCTCACAGTTCTGGAGGCTAGAAGTCTGAGATCAGGGTGCCAGCACAGTCGGGTTTTGGTAAGGGCCCTCTTCCTGGCTTGCAGATGGCTACCTTCTTTTTGTGTCTTCACATGGCCTAGAGAGAAAGCAAACTGTCTGGTCTCGTCTTCTAAGGGCACTAATCCCATCACAAGGTCCCCACCCTCATGACCTCAACTAACCCTAGTTATGGTCCCAATGGCTCCATCCCCAGATACCAGCACATTGGAGGTTAGGGGCTTCAATGTAAGAATTTGAGGGGACATAGTTCAGTCCATAGCTATCAGACTATTTAACGGCTGCACCTCAGCTTCGAAGACCATCTGTGATCTTGGCAGGAATGAGATTATCAGATCCATGCTCTTCTCCAACAGAGTCCACCTCAGCAGGAAGGTCCAGGGGGCTGAGAGTGCAGAGAGGTCCAGGGAAGCCCTGAAGCATGTGTGGTTGAGGGGAGGGAATAAACTGAGTATTTCTGCCTGAGGCCAGCCCCCATCCCCCACCCCCAGCCAAGTACCAGGCCCGAGTGGCCTGTCCTCTCTACTCCTGCCCCTACCCTCTACCCCCTACCCCTGCAGGTTGTCCTGGCGGGATTGGAGCTTTCTCCTCCTGTCACGTTCCAGCTCCGGGCTGGCTCTGGACCCGTGTTCCTCTGTGGCCAGGAATGTTATGGTAAGTCCAAGCTTGGACCCGAGAAAGGTCTGCCGGTACAGTGCTCAGCACAGGGCCAAGGACATAATAGGTACTCAAACACTTGAGGGATTCTTGAATTATTGGAGAAGATCCCCAAAGGCAACAGAATCACCAGCAGCCTGGACCAGGAGGCTATGGGCACGCGTCCTAGCCCCAGTTCTCCTTTACCTCTCCGCCACGTCCTCTGTGGGCTGCAGCCCTCCAGCCATAACACGGGGGTGGGGTTATACTTGGTTCCATCTTCAAGTGTATTCCTCCTAGTTGTGAGGAATAGATGGCATATTCAGAAAAAGCACTTAACATAACGCCTGGTACCAGAGCACACTCAAAACATTACCTGCTATGAAGTATGTAGCTGTAGCAGTAACATGGACCCTGGCAATTCGCTGTGCTTTTGACTCTTTTGACAGACCTTTAACTGCCTTCTTCTCTGTCCAGTGGTGCCTCTTCCATCAGGGTTCTCTCCTGCTCCAAACCCCGGGCAGGTTCCACCTGCCTCAGGATGAGGCCTGAGTTCCTCCGCTGCTGTGTCCCCACCCTCTCCCTCCTTCCCCTCACACTCTCCTTCCCAGTGTGCATCCCCCTCCGGCCCGGCCAGAGCTGCAGCTTACCACTTCCCCTGCCCTTCTGCCGCGGCCTCAGCCCTCACTGCCCTCCCCCCCCGACCCCGCCAGCCGCACTTTGGGCAGGTAGATCTGGGAAGGGGAGCCTGGCAGAGACCCTCGGGCTCAGAGGCCCTGCCTTCCTCCCACACCATCGCTGACACTTCAGACCAATCCTGGGAGGAAGAGGAGGGGGAGGAGGAGGAAGAAGAGGAGGAGGAAGAAGAGGAGGAGGAGGAAGAAGATGATGACGACGAAGACACAGATGTGTCCCTGGAGAAGGAGACCCCTGTCAAACAAGTCAAGAGGCTGGCGCCCCAGAAGCACACAAGCGTTGCCAAGGTGAGGGAGGGACACCCACCCCCCCGCAAAGGCTCCTCAGAAACCTGGACCAGGCCTCCCCAGTTGAGTGCGCTGAGGCCCAGGGCAACACCTGCCAGGTGCCCGGCGGGAGTCTGCTCTGCCCCTGGGCCTTGCCAGAACTCCCAATAATGCTTGTGTTTGGTTTCCAGAAAAAAAAGGTGGAAAAAGAGGAGGTGGCAGTGAGGTAACTCTTTCCATCTATTAAATGAGCCAAAATCTTTCAGTTGAGGTACATCGTGCTTGAAAGAGGATGATGCACGTGTGTGTGCAGGTGTGTGGTACACGGAGACACAGGTGCACAGGTGTGCTGCCACTGTCGGTTGGCACAGTCTTTTTGAAAAGCATTTAACAGTTCTTATCTTCTGACTTCATCCCACTTACGGCAGTTCCTTCCAAAGAATCCCATCCAAGATATGAGGGAAATATATGCACTAAGAAACTTATATCACTGCATTATTCAAATAATAGTATAAAATGGAAGCATTGTAAATGTCCATCAATATACCAGTTGCTTAAACTATGTCACGTCTTCTCAATGGCATGTGACATAATGCCCATGAAGAATATAGCAAACTGGAAAATGTTTCTAGAATTCAAAGAGCAGGATATTAAATTATTTTCACCTTAATATTTAGTTATTTAATTTTTGGCTGCATTGGGTCTTAGTTGCGGCATGTGGGATCTTAGTTCCCCGACCAGGAGTCACGTCCCCTGCATTGGAAGGTGGATTCTTAACCACTGGACCACCAGGGAAGTCCCAAATTATTTTCATTTTATTTCACAAACAAAAAAGTTCTGAAAGGAAACAAAATGTTAATATTAGTAGGAGGTAAAGAAAAGTATAGGCAATTTATTCTCTATTTGCTATATTTTGCTCAATGTGGTTAACATTACTTTTATGATAAGAAACATTTGTGTCTTATACACAAATAAAGGAAAGCAGATAGAAGCTTAAGAAGAAAAAACATCTTGTTTAAAAAGAGAGAGTCAGGGACTTCCCTGGCGGTCCAGTGGTTAAGACTCTGGGCTTCCACTGCAGGGGCCACATGTTCAATCCCTGGTCAGCGAACTAAGATCCTGCATGCCGCGTGGTGGGCCAATAAATAAATAAATAATTTTAATTTAAAAATTTAAAAATTTAAAAAATAAAAGAGAGTCAGAGTGGTCCCTGGCAGGTGACAGGTGGAGAGGCAAACCTCTCCAGGTCACAGCCCCCTGCTTCCTGGAAGTGCCCAGGGCCCAGCTCTGCAGCCTGGGCACTAGTAGGAGGGCCCGGGGCTACTGGCATCAGACTGAGCTCTCTCTTTCCCACATCCCCACTCCTTGCCCAACCCCACCCCGTTCCAGATACCATCCTAAAGACAGGAGCCCTGTGGGAAAGGTGAGTACTGATAAGAAGGGGCTGGTCCTCCTGGGGGAGGAGGGATGTTCTCTGGGAAGGTGCCAGGATGGGGAGAGGGTGGGACACTGGAGCAACGCCTTCTCTCACAGGCCAAAACCACACCCAGACCTAAAAAGCCAGGATTTAAGAAATGAGGAGCCAGGAGTGGCCTGGCCACAGTGACAGAGGGAGGGCCCGTGAGACCACCGTGCTGAGTCTGAATGTCATGGACGTGTTGGGGGCGACACAAGAGCTCCTCACCCCAACTATCGGTTGCAGCAGGACCTGGAGGGAAGAGCCCCGACCTCTCAGACCCACAATAAAGTTTGCTTTGCTAGGACCTTGTTGCAGCAGCTGTCTCTCCCTTCCCCGGGAGCTGTCCTTGCCGGCTGCAGTGAGCCCGTGAGCCCGGCAGAGGGCAGCCGTGTGCCAGCACACCCTGGCCTGCCTGCCTGCCAGCCAGCCAGCTGTGTTCTGCTCTTTATCTCCCTCTCCCCCCCCCGCCCCCACCGCCCCCCCGCCCCACGCCCGGCACCACCACCCCATCCCCAGCTTTGGGGGAAGGACCAAGTGTCTCAGCCCCTTTCCCAGCTTCGACCTTCAACCCTCAGGCCTGAGGGAGGGAGCTAGAGCTGGGGTGGGTCTTCCTGCGTCCACACTCCCTTCTGACAGGGCCTGGCTCTCCAGATACAGAACTGAAGGGTGACAGCTGCCCGCCGCCCCTACCAGGAAGGGACCAGCCTGAGGGTCTGCATCTCAAGGGCCGGGCCTAGCTCTGCTCTCCCAGGCTTGCGTCCTGTTAGGTGAGCTGCTCACAGGGACGTCACTGGTGTGATCTGTGTCAGGCAGGAGCCCAGAGGCCTGCACCTTCAAGGAAACCTCCCAAGTGGGGAGACACGCAGGCTTCCTGGAAGCTATAAAGTATCTCTTCAGGAGGTGGACAGGTGAACAACTCCTGGGCTAGCATTCCCCAAGGGCAGCAGTCAGAGCCACAGGAACGGGGTTCAGTAAATTTTTGGGGTGAGATCCAACAGAGGATTGAAAGGGGGGTGAATGACCCATCGCATGGCTCTGACCTTCTGCCCCCTCCCAGCCTGCAGAGCCACTTTGAAGCCGGGTTCACCCATGGTGACGTGCAGGTGGCCGCCCCCCTCGGGGTCTACTTGCAGGGCCTCTGCTGGGCTTCTCCCTGCCCCTAACCAGCACCCCCATTGGCCAGGACTGAAGTGGGCCAGTGGGGAACTGGCCCTGCCCTCTCTCCCCAGGACCCCCAGGTATGGGTCCCAGAAAGTTGGAGGTCTCTGAACACCTGCATGGGAAGGGCAGCAGGCAGGCTTGAGTCTCCCCATTCAGCTTCTCTCGATGCCAGAAGAGATAGAGGAAGGCAGGGCTGGCATTCTTGCTTCTGCTTTCTACACCCCACAAGGCAGATGTGGGCTTTGCCCCACCCTCTAACAAAGGAGAACATGCTACTGACCTCAGTCCCCCAGAGCGACAAGGGACATCAGTTCAGGTCTGGTTCCAGGTAGGCAGCTGGCATTGACCATGGCTTCATGCCACCGCGATACAGGGTGGGCAAGACAAAGTCCTCCCTTCAAGTTGCCTACAGTCTAGTGGAAACACAGGAGCCAACAACATAATTTCAATTACTGTCCAGCGCTTTGGAGGACGTAAAACAGGCTAATTTCCAGGGTGGGGAAGTGCTGGTGGGGTTTTTTTTTGGGGGGTGGGGGATTTGGCCATGACGCATGGCTTGTGGGATCTTAGTTCCCCAATCAGGGATCAAACCCACACCCCCAGCAGTGGAAGTGCGGAGTCCTAACCACTGGACCACCAGGGAAGTCCCGGGAAGTACTGTTTAGTTGGATCTGAGAAGGTCCTTCAGAGGAGACGATTGACAAAAAGGGAGTGGTGGCTACATGTAGAGCTGACAGAAGGACATTCCTAGGAGCAGGAACAGAGGGTGCAAAGGGCCTGAGGCAGAACAAGCACAGTGGTTTGGACAGAAAGAAGGCTGATGTGATTGCAGTGATAACCCTGTGAGCTGGGTGCTGCTCTAAGTGCCTTCCATGGATTCACACTTTTAATCCTCACAACCATGCCTAGAGGTGGGTGTTATTAGCCCCATTTCTCAGATGTGGAAAGTGAGGCACAGAGAGGTTAAACAACTTGCCCCCCAAGGTCACACAGCCAGGATTCACACCCAGGTAGTCTGGCACTAGGGCCCTGTTTTTAACCACTCTGTGGGTGAGAGGGGGACGTGGAAGTTTGAGGGTGCCAGGAAGCCTCAAACTGAGAGTAGGAGTTAGAATTGAGGCCACGGTATAACTGGAGCCCAGGAGGGGCAGCTCCGGAGCCAAGTTATTGCAAAGCCTGTGTTGTCGCAGGTACTTCTCCGCTCCACCAGCCCCAGGCAAGCACCCCTGTTCTCTGGCTCCGCAGCAGGACTGCACAGAAGGGCACTTAACAGCTAGACGTCTGGCAATTTGATTTCCACGTGCCGGCAGGCGGTGGGGATCAGATAGCAAAGATGGGGGGAGGTCTGTCCGCATTGCTACAGTGCTCTTTGCCCTTCACCCTTCCCCAGCCCTAGCCCTTCTGTTTGTCAACAGGAAAAGGGTGGGCTGGGGTCAAAGCAGGTGGTGACAAGTGACCGGCATGCAGGTGGACTCTGGGTCTGCACAAGCTGGGCTGCTAGGAGCAGGCGTGAGACGCCCCCTTTGTGGGGGGAGGTGTTGAACTTGGCACTGTGGGATGGGATCAACCACCGCGGCCTTGACTACTCCTCACTCCCCTTATCACCTCCTGCCACCCCCCATAAATGGTAATGAACACTACCCTTCTCCCCCCACCGCCCCCCTCCCCCGCTCCCAGGTCCCTCTGGTGAGGGGAGAAAGTCAAAGTTTAGGCAAACTGAGGCTGGGCCACGTAAGAGGGTCTCTGCCCCTCTCCCTCTTTCTTGTGGCACTTGACACTTTTCAGGAAGTGTCCTTCCTCTCAGTTGACAAGATGGCAGTTTTAGCAGCATCAGTAGTGGCCATTTCCTTTTTATAAATTAGGAAGCTGAGACCAGAGAGGTGAAGGGACTTGCCACAGGTCACATAGCCTGTAAGGGCCGGGGTCAGGGAATGGGGATAAAATTCAGAGTCTGGGACTGGAACACTCCCCACTTGGGGCCCACCACCGGCCTTCCCATGGGGGTAAAGTAGAAAACGGAGCCAGAAAGCCAGGCCTGCAGGTGCAGAATGGGCTACCCAGCTGTGCCCCTGAGCCCCCTGGCACCAGCCCCCTGTCTGAGCCCCAAGGCCAAGCTTGACTGTGGGCATCTGTTACCATGGAGGCCCAGGCTGGGCTGGGGGCTGGCCAGTGACAGCAGGCCCTTCCCCCACTGATAGGAACCAGGTTCTCGGGCTCAGAGACCTTGGGCCCAGATGGAACTCCCCACACCTGCCTCTCCTCACTGCCTTCCGTCTCCCATCTGACCCCTCCACCCCTGAACCCCAAGCCTGATCTGTCTCCTCCATGCCTCTCTGCTCTTACCTGTGACTCCTGGGGATTGAGGTCCGGAGGAGATAGCTTTTAATACCCTACCAGGGAGCTAGGAGCTGGTGAGCATGTGGGCATGAGGACAAGGTCTTCCCAGAGAATAGAGACAGAACCAGCACCGATCACAGTGGAGAGGTAGATTCCAGATGTTTCCATGGAAGAGGGAGAGTTTAAATGGGGCCCCAAATGGTGGTGCGAATGTGGAAAATGGAAATGATTGGTACCTTGTTCCAACTATGCTACTAACTAGCTGTGAGACCCTCTCTGGACCTCATTGGTGAATGAGGAGTCTGGACCAGATGAAGAATCTCTAAGATTCCCTTCCAGTTTTTCTTTTGTGGTACGCGGGCCTCTCACTGTTGTGGCCTCTCCCGTTGCGGAGCACAGGCTCCGGACGCGCAGGCTCAGCGGCCATGGCTCACGGGCTCAGCCGCTCCGCGGCACGTGGGATCCTCCCGGACCGGGGCACGAACCCGTGTCCCCTGAATGGGCAGGCGGACCCTCAACCACTGCGCCACCTGGGAAGCCCTCCCTTCCAGTTTTGACATTCTTTCCAACTGATTCCAACCCGGGACACCCCTAGTTACAAAGGTCAGGGCCGGAGCCAACACTGCATTCCCCAGGCCAGCTCGGGCTCAACTCACCCTTGAGCCCCCAGCAGGGCACCTGGGGCGGAGCTGGGAGCCAAGTGTGGAGCTTGACCGGGTGGGCTGGAGGTGTCCCTGCTTGTCGGTGGGTGGGGAGGGGTGGCAGACAACTTTGTGGATTGATCTGGCTCAGGAAGGTGAGAAGGAGGCCTGGAGGTGAGAGTTTCGCCCTCCCACTCATCTCTTTAGGTAAATAAATCCACAGCCAGCATTTCGCCTTCTCTTCCCATCCTGGAGACACTGAGACCTCCAGGGAGCCCAGAGCTGAGGTGTAAGCTTCCCTCAGAGACTCCCCCCCTGCGCACTAGCCCCCTTCCACAGTCACCATCAGCCACCTTCTTCGGGGAAGGAATCGCGTAGAGTTCCTGGTCATCAGCTTCCAGGACCAGGGATATTGGGACATCATGGGTGGGCGCTATGCTGGCCCCGGCAGGCGTGGGCACAGTAGAAGGAATCTGTGTGGGAGAGAAAGAGCATGGACTTTGGAAACCCGGCTACGCCGTTCACTAGCTGGGTGATCCTGAGCAAACGACCTACCGTGTGCCTCAGTTTCCTCCTCTGTAGAATGGGGTGATACCTGGTGTGGTACAGAGCAGCGTGGGACCGGAGGTTAGAAAAAGAAGAGGCCGCTGGGCACTTCATCCCAGACCGCTGCTGAGGGGCCGCAGGGAGGAGGCCCTGGGTTCCTCCCAGCTCCCGGAGGTTCTAGGGATGGCTGCTGTCGTGGGGGGGATGACAAGTGAGTCCCAGAACATATACCTTTGACTTCTGCCTCAGTGCGGCCATCTCACTGGGTCCTCCAACATCCCGAGGCACTACTGTGCCCATCTCCCAGAGGAAACGGCCAAGGCCTGGAGGAAAGCGGCTGGTACCAGTGCACCCGCTCTCCTCGATGCCATGGGGTCCTTCTACGGCCCCACCCGCACCTGCCTCCCTACCCCTGGTCCCCAAGCTGTGGCGCCCACTGTTTGATACCCGTCGGGACAGCCTTAACCCCTCCTTCCCGGTGGCCAGACAGCAGACAGAGGGAGTAAGGGATGACAGAGGCAGTGGAAGCTATGCTCCTAGCCAAGCCCACCTCCTGCCCCCCGGAGGGAGGCTCCTCCTTTTAAGGCTGCTGCTGGGAATTTCCACCCCCAGACCCCGACCCAGCGACCCCAGGCCTGGAATGATACCTGCAGCTCACCCTAGGGGAGGTGGGGCAGGAGAAGCTGGCCCTGAGAGGGGAGGAGGGGCCCTGCCGTGGGGTCCGTGAGGGTCAGTAAGAACGCAGGAGCCAGCCTCTGGGTCTAGAAGCCTCCAGCAGCTCCATCCTCTGCGCTGGGGTATCCCAGAGAGAGGCTGACAGCACCCCCCACCGACCCCCGCCAGCAGCTGCTTTGCAGTCTCACTGGCCAGGAAGGTGGCCTCCTCACACCTCAGTCTCCCAATTACGCCCTCCTCCCCCCTCGCCCTCCTCCCTTCTCTCCTCTCTCCTCCTCCTCCCGTCTCTCTCCTCTCCCCACTGAAAACCTGTGGCTTGGAGGAGACCTTGGCTTCTCTGGGACTCTGCCCCCAGGGACTGCCCACATCTGCTCCTGACTCTGGGGGCAGGAGGGCAACGGCCCCAAGAAATCTCTCCGGCGATGGGAGCCGCCCGCCTGCCCAACCTCACGCTGTAAGTGCGCTACCTCTCGGACTGCCGTCTTGTTGCCATTTCCAGCCCGGGGGCAGACCCAATCTTCCTGGGACTGGCACACGGACCGCGTGGGGCAGGGGTGGGTGCCTGTTGCGCCCTGGGGCTGGCTGCTGGTACCCACACCCGGGCCGCCTCGTCTCCCGCACAGGTGCCTGCAGCTCCTGATTCTCTGCTGTCAAACTCAGGTAGGCCGGCGCCCCCGCTAGCTTCTCCCCGTTCCTCCCACACTACCGATGGGGGCGGTCAGTCTCCTTTCCGTGGACAGAGGCAGATCCTGGCCTCTCCCTGAGTCCAGAAGACTCTGAGGTTTGGGGGGGCGGTGGGATGGGGTAGGAGAAGGGGCCACAGCAGATTGGGGGATTGACGGAAGTTTTTATTTCAGCCCTCCTTCTGACACCCCTCCTGTGTTGCCCTGGGGTCTCTTCTGCTCCCTCCATCCCTCCACACTGTGTTCCCCCCCAAGGCTAAGCGCATGGGGCAGCCAAGCCTGAGGGATGGAGCCCGGGAGTGGTCGGAAGAGGGCGGAGGTGATGGCTCAGGTGAGGCTTGTACTTGCAAGTACCTGAAAGGACAGGTTTCCACGCAAAACCGCCTGTCTGTTCCACTCACCACCCCGCTCCCACCAACACGGAGGTCCTGTGGGTCGCGGTCCTGGGTGATCGCGTGGGCAGTCAGAATGCCCAGCCAGGGTGGGCGACTCCTTACCTACAGGGCAATGAGGTCAAGCCCGAAGAGGTTTGTATGGGATGAGATTCAGGGTTTGCTTCTCCACACCCCCCACCCCAAGTCAGCGCCCGCCCCCCCCCCCGCCCCAGCCTCAGCCCCCTATGTGAGGCTCGGTCCCTTTTTGTGATCCTCCATAAAAGTGCAGCTATTAAAATGCACTGGTCCAGAACCGCTCTGGGGAGAGATCCCTTGGCTTTCCCAGGCCAGAGGCCCGCTTCTCTTCATATCCAGTGGGGACTTTTTTTGAAGGTAAATGCCTTTTCTCTGGGAGAGGGAAAGGGGCTGCCTTTGAAGCAGTGGGGGGGTGGGAGGGAGAGAGGGAGAGACAACCCCCCCTTTCCTTCCCCCTTTTGCTCTAGCCCCCGTTCCAGGCCTTTTGCTTCACACATCCAGGGAGAGCAAGAAGAAAGCCCCCAGCCTGGCCGGGAGGGGTCTGGGGGTGGGCCCAACCTGTTCTGGAGGGGGAATTAGCACAATGGTGCGGCGGGCCGGCGTTTATGGCCTGGCTGAGGCCCCATTCAGGAGCCGGGGAAGGTGGCAAAGCTGTCCTTTCCCCCTTGAAGCGCCCCCTCGCCCCCCCTCGGAGGGGGGGCCAGCAGGCCGGACCGCAGCCATGCTTGAGGGGCCGTCTGACAAGCAGCTGTCTGCGGCAGTGGAAGGGGAGGTCCCCCTGCAGCGGGAACATGAAAGGGACAAGCAAGGTCCCGCGGGGAGAGCGACTTGTGGACTGTGGGCTGGGGGGGGCGTGGGACTGCTTTTGTGCAGGGCTTGAAGGGGGACGAGTAGAGGAGGGGGCTTCGGGGGGGCCCTCTCTGCTCCCGACCTGGAACAGACAGCCAGAAGGAGGCTGCCCGCCAAGAGGGGCGGAGGGCCTGAACCTGGGCCAGGAGGCTCGGCGGGGGGGGGGGGGGGGGGGGCTGGGGACAGGCCGGACCCCACCCCCTGGCAGGGAGGCAGGTCCCCCACCCAAAATGCTGGCCTCAGGTTTTCCCAGGGCGGGATGTGGGGTGGGCAGACCCTGCCCTCATAGGCTGGGAATCCAGGCTGTGGATGAGCCAGGGTCGGACCTGGGCAGTGACACCCGGGAAGGGTTAACCCTGAGCAGGTTCTGCTGAATGATAGCCTGGAGCTGCTCCCTCACCTTCCCACCCCTCCCTCCAGGAGAGAGAGGCCCCTCACAGATGCTGGTCTGGGTCTAGCTCTGTCCGGATGGTCGCGATTGGGCCTGGGATAACGGCGGACTTGGGGATGTGGGGCAGGGAAAGGCTGTCCCAGCACAGGCCAGCAGGATCCAGGCGGAGGAACGTTTTAGTTCTAGAGCTGGGGCTGTCACCAGCGGCTGGGAAACGTCATCCCGGTTTGCACCTTGCTGGAGAGAGAGGGCAGGAAGCGGTCTGTTTCTCTCCTACTCAGCACTGCCGATGGGTAAGGAGACACCAGGCCCGGAGGAGGTACTCGTCCTGGCTTCGTATCGTGTGCGGATGGAAACGTCCCCTCTCCACTCCCCTGGAAGCAGTGGGCGGTAGCATCACCCCCGGCTGGCCACGAGCCTCTGTTACACTGTGGCACATGCAGGTGGCCTCACAGGGCAGCCACGGGGCCACCACTGAGGGCACCTCTCACCACCGCCTCCACCGCCCTCAGCTAAGGAGGCGCCTCACCCCTAGAGGGGGAGGAACGCTGGAAGGGGCACTGGCTTCTCTGAGGGCCCTGAGCACCCAGGGGGAGCGGCAGGGGAGATGGGCGTGAGCTCAGGTGTCCTTCCTTAGTGCTATAAAGAAATGCTTCCAGGGGCCCTGCAGGAGCCTACAGAGAAGGGTCTTAGAGCCCCCAAAAAGGTCTCCAGTGACTCTAACAGACCAGCTGCTGTGTGTGCACGTATGTGTGTGCGTGACCGTGCACACATGTGTGTGTGCATGTGCTGGGCGTGGGCTCCTTTGAGGCCAGTGCGGAGGACTGGGGAGACATCTGGTCACCCTGGCTAACAGAGCCAAGCCCCTGGAGTTTTGGAGAGGAGACAAGCTTCCGTCCTAGAGGCGGGACAGGCGTCTGTCACTAATCAGCTGTGCGGCCCTGTGCACTTCCTCCCCGGGGATTAGACACCAGCAGCTTCCTCCCCGGACCATGGGGATTAGGTACCAGCAGCTTCCTCCCCGACCACGGGGATTAGACACCAGCAGCTTCCTCCCCGGACCACGGGGATTAGGTACCAGCAGCTTCCTCCCCAGACCACGGGGATTAGACACCAGCAGCTTCCTCCCCAGACCACGGGGATTAGACACCAGCAGCTTCCTCCCTAGACCACGGGGATTAGGTACCAGCAGCTTCCTCCCTAGACCACGGGGATTAGATACCAGCAGCTTCCTCCCCGGACCACGGGGATTAGGTACCAGCAGCTTCCTCCCCAGACCACGGGGATTAGACACCAGCAGCTTCCTCCCCAGACCACGGGGATTAGACACCAGCAGCTTCCTCCCTAGACCACGGGGATTAGGTACCAGCAGCTTCCTCCCCGGACCACGGGGATTAGGTACCAGCAGCTTCCTCCCCGGACCACGGGGATTAGATACCAGCAGCTTCCTCCCTAGACTATGGTGATTAGATACCAGCAGCTTCCTCCCTAGACCATGGGGATTAGATACCAGCAGCTTGAATGTTCCTTCCAGCTCCCAGAGTCGTGATTCCAGGCCTGAGCTGTATCACCAAGTGTCCCCAGAGCTGGGCAGCTACCAGTCCTGTGCTCCAGGGCAGACGAAAAGCCAAGTCACAATGACTGGCTCACACACTGGCCTGGGAAGGTCATGGCCAGATGCCCCCTGCACCTCAACTTCTCAGGGCAATGGCCTGCCCCACCACACTCGCCTCCGCACCCCTCCCCTGGACGGACCTGCGGTGGTGTCACCCAAAGCAAATTGACACTATTTTTCCCTTGGTAACCGCAAAGGGGGAGAATCACCCGTCTCCTAATTTTAACCAGTACGTGAGGGACCAGGGTGCCATGACCGACCAGCTGAGCCGGCGGCAGATCCGCGAGTACCAGCTCTACAGCCGGACCAGCGGCAAGCACGTGCAGGTCACTGGGCGTCGCATCTCCGCCACCGCTGAGGACGGCAACAAGTTTGGTGAGGCCCAGCCCTCACCGGAGGCCACCCACACCCCTACCCAGCCTTGCCTGGTCCATCCCCAGACGGGTCAGGGTGGAGGCTGCAGGGGGAGAGCAGGGAGAAGCCTCTAGGAGGAGAGGCCCCGAGGGCCCCCCACCCAAATTCAGAGGGCAGGCTGGTAGGGGTTCCCTGCACACCCCTGGGCCAGCAGCCCCGAGGGACAGAGGTCTTTCTCCCCCGCCCCCCCCCCCAGCCAAGCTCATAGTGGAGACAGACACCTTCGGAAGCCGAGTGCGCATCAAGGGAGCTGAGAGCGAGAAATACATCTGTATGAACAAGAGGGGCAAGCTCATCGGGAAGGTGAGGCCTGGAGGGCAGGGAGTCATGAACGAATCCGTCTTCCCGGGGTTGCAGCATGCAGGGCCCCACCCAGGGCTCTGACTTCTCCTGCTCTCACCCCACCACTCGGCCTCTCTCTGGTCTCTCCAGTCCCTGTGGGTCTAGAAGCCCTCTGAGGACATTGGCTGATCCATAAGAATCCTTGGCTCTGATGTATGAGGTACTTTCCCAGCAACAATGAGGAAGAATTTTAGCACCTACATCATGTCACAGCCTCTGTGTTGAGGGCTAAGAGCTGATCAGGGTTGAGAGGCCAGAAGCCACGCCCCCTCAGGTCAGTGGGGTCCTCGGGCTCCAAGTAACAAGATTCGTGCTAACTGCCTACTAGTGTAACCACTAGTTACACCCTCCACAGTGGTGGGTCCGGAGTTGCTGTGCAGGGGGAATTCCATTTCCTTTGGCATCAGCCAATCCTGGCTTCTGATTCTGGCTGTTTTCAAATATTTGCTTATTTTTGTCAAGTCTCAGGCTTCTCATCTGTAAAATGGGCACGGTGTCAAGATTATCTGTAGAGCCAGATGGGTGGCTGCCTGGCTCTTTACACAGTTGGTGTTCTACAGACGTTTTCCCCTTCTTTCCATCAGACTGTCGCGTCCCTCCCCTCCACCCAGCAACACCATTCACGCAGACCAAGGAACGTTCTCCTATATACGAGTGCCCACTGGGTATGCACTGAACTGCACAGTTACCTTGATCTTTATGAAACAGCTGGGTAAACTGAGGCTCAGCCTGGCTAAATACCTTGCTCAATGTGTACAACCTCCAAATGACAAGGCTGTATTTAAGTTCAGATCTGACTCCAACAAAGCTTGTTCCTTGCCCCCTCCTTTGCCTCTCCAACAAGGGTGCCCGTCTCACCGGGCAGGGTGCCCATCTCACCGGGCAGGAATTCTTGGGCTCACAGCCCCTGTCGCTCCCTCCTCGGTCCTACAACATAGGTCCATAAGGCAGACTAGCCAGCCAGGGTAGGCGGACAAACTCCCCTTCCTTCCCCTGCAGCCCAGCGGGAAGAGCAAAGACTGCGTGTTCACAGAGATCGTGCTGGAGAACAACTACACAGCCTTCCAGAATGCACGGCACGAGGGCTGGTTCATGGCCTTCACGCGGCAGGGCCGGCCCCGCCAGGCCTCCCGCAGCCGCCAGAACCAGCGAGAGGCTCACTTCATCAAGCGCCTCTACCAGGGCCAGCTGCCCTTCCCCAACCATGCCGAGAGGCAGAAGCAGTTCGAGTTTGTGGGCTCAGCCCCCACCCGCCGGACCAAGCGCACTCGGAGGCCACAGCCCCTGACATAGTCAGGGACACCCCCGGGGGGGGCAGCCGCCCCTCACTCATGGGCCTTCCCATCCCCTTCCCTTCCTAATCCAAAGACAGGGCTGGGGTGGAGGCAGGGGAGCCAGAGCCCCCAAGGAGGATGCTGAGGACCACCGAGCATCAGAGCCCCCCCACCGGAAAGGCGGAGGACTGCCACTAACCAGGGCTGGCTCCTCAGGGCCCCACCCTGGCGTGGCGCCCTGGGGGCGGGGCAGGCCCCCCAGAAGGGGAAGGTAGAATAACCCGAGGTCAGGCTCCCCTGAACCAAGTGGGCAAAGTCAGCGGATTCAAGGCTCTGCAGACACGGTCTGGAGGTGGCTCTCCTCGAACTCTGCTGCCCCTGTCTCCCTCAGTCTGCCCCCCAGCCTCCAAATTCCTCCTGGCCAGACTGTAGGAAGGGACTTTTGTTTTGGTTTCAGGAAAAAAAAGAGGGAGAAGAAAAAAAAGAGGGCTGGCCATTCTTCACATTCCACTGCCCAGGCCTGCACCCTCTCCCCCAACTCCCAGCCCCGGAATAAAACCATTTTCCTGCAAACGGGTTATCTGAAGCGGGGTGGGGGGGGTGGGGGAAACAACTGCAAAGCTGAACTGGGGACAAACTTGCTCCTCCGAGAGAAGAGGAGGCCGGCGCGCAGGCCCGGGGGTGGCGCGGCAGGTGGAGGCCAGGCCGGGCCCCGCACGTCCCCGCAGGGGCAGAGGACAGGGGGGCAGGAGCAGCGGCAAGGGATGGCCCGGCAGGCCCGCACCTCCGCCCCGCGGGAGGCTGGCGGCCCGGGGCGCGCCCCTCCTCCGCGGGCTCAGGTTTCCTGGCTGGCACCGCGCGTCCCGTGCTACCTGCTGGGGCGCAGAAACCCCAATCCTGGGGCCGGTCCGAGCCTCCGGGGCCGGGGCCGGGGCCGCTGGCCGGGCAGCCGCGGGCGCTGCAGCCTCCTCGCCGGGAGCCAGATTACTTTTTTCCGGTGAGGAGGTCGGGTGGGGGAGGAGGCGCGGACGGGCGGAAGCGGAGGGAGGGCGAGACCGCGTACAGTGCGCCCAGGTCCCCGCGGGGGGGCGGGGCGGGGGCCACACCTGGGGGGACAAGGCGATTAGAGGCGGCGGCCCGGGGTGTGGGTGTGGGTGTGGGCGCGGGCGGGGGGGGAGGGGCAATCCTCTTCCCTCCCCCTCCCCCTCCCCGCCCAGAGCTCCTCTGGGGGGCTTTCCGGACGGCTCCAGGTGTGCGTTTGGGGAGTGGAACTAAGAGGCCATAAAACCCGCCTCTTTCCTCCTTTGCCACGGTTCTTAATTTTGTCCACTGGGGAGGCCCTTCCTGGCAGCGCCCCTCCTCTGCTCTTCACGGGGAACACCTCACTGAGCCCGCTCTTCTGCGGACGGACCCCCAGCCTCAGTTTCCCCTCCCTCCTCTTTCTGAGAAAATGTTGGGGAGGGGGATTTTGGAGAGAGAAGAAGGAGGATGAACGACATCTCTTCCCGTTTCTCCCAACAGTGGCCTAAAAATGAAGAAAGAATGGGAAGCTGTGGGGGGGGGGGCTGGTTTAGTCAAAAGGGGAGGCGAGTGGCGCGTAGTCCAAGTTGGGGGACGCGGGGGGGTCACTCACCTCTCCCTGGGTGAGGACCGGAGCCAAGGCTGACACCCCCAACTCGAGGCAATTTAGACAGCGGCAGCCAAGAGGGAGGTCCCCAGGCCCCAGGCCATTCTCCCTCCGGCTTGTCATAATCACTTTTCACCAGGTTGCTTTTTCCTCTCCCCCCCAAATCACAAAGAGTCTTAATCCTGCTGAAGACTGCGGGAAACGTGTTGGGGGTCGTTTTCGGGGGAGGTGGGGAGAGTGTAGGGAGGTGGTCTGGAGCCACAGCTGATAACTGGCGAGTTCAATGGGATTTTCCACGCAGGGGCAACGCCCAGCAATTACCTGAGGACAAAGGGTCGGGGCCCCCAGGTGTGGAGGACTGGACTTGGGGGGCTGGGAAGGAGGTGTGCCGGGGAGGGGGAGCTCTTACAAGCCCTCTGATTTCCGCAGGAATTTGAGACATTCTTTAAAGCTCAGGCCCACCCCACCCCCCCCACCGGCTCGGGTTAGAGACAGCTTCAAAGGTGGATGGGGCCCTTTGTCTCGCCTCCCCTTTCTTCTCTGCCTTTCTCCGGCCCCTCCCTCCCTCTCTTTGACCTCCCCAGCACAGACAGGCCTCTGGGGGACGGCTCCAGAAAGCCCTCACTGTTTCCTTTCTTGCTTTCTGAGGTGAGACCTGGCAGGGAGGGACAGAGGACGGGGAAGGGTGAGAGAGGAAGGCCGCTCTGGAGGCCTGTGCCATCTCAGACGGGGCCCTTGCCCCAACCCCAGCCAGGGCCCAGCAGCTCTGACGCCCGCTTGTGGCCTTGGGTCCCCCAGTTGTTGGTGCTTCCAGGCTCCATAGCCAGGGTGCCTCTTCATGCTCTGGGGAAGTCTCCCCATCCCTCCTACCTGGTGGTGATTTCGAAGATGCTAAAAGGAAGAAGGCAAAGGAATGGGTCTCTAATAACGGGATGGGGGGGCGGGATTTAAAGTATCTGTGTGTGTGGCAGCAAGGAGGCTTCCCGTGGACCTCTGACGGCTACAGCAACCCTGGTTGCTTCTGGGCGCCCTGAAGCTCCAAGGAGGCGGGCGGGTAGGGATGGACACAGCGCAGGAAGATTTAGGGTGAGTCGAACACAACCGTTTCAGGGAGGGTGTGACAGGGGGAGGGCGGCGGCGGCGGCAGCGTGCCTCAAATCCTATGCCTGTTTAGGATTACCAAGAACTCTGGCTAAGAATAGCCTACATATAGATCCTGGCTTCTCTGTCCTGTCCTCCAAACGGCCAGATGAGGCAGAGGGGAGCCGAAGCAGGAAGTCGGGGCGGTGGCAGGGGGCGGGAATCCATTCATATTTTAGCCCTCGCCGCGTCTCTCTAGTCAACCCTGTCCCTCAGACTCCGCTGGCTGTGACTTCCCAGTCACCCAGCCTCAGCCTCACAGCCCTGGACAGCTACGAGGACCACCTGTCCTTGAAGCTCTTTCCTCCCTCACCTGCCCTAGGCGGTCCTTTCTTCCTTCTCTCTGGCTCGCGGACTCTTCTCTTTCCTGGCCCCTCTTCACAGGAACATGCCCCGAGATCTCTGTCACTCTCTCCTCTCCCTGAGCAAACCAGCATGTCAGCTGTCACCCCCTTTCACACGACTGCTTTCTCCTCCAAACTCTGGAACACTGCACCACGGCCGGACCTCACTGGGATCTGTCTCAATGAATGCGGTAGCTCTCTCAGCAGTCTTTCTCCCTCCTGACACACACACGCACACATACACTCCTCAGCACATCACATAGTTTGTTCAGCTCACCTTACCTTACCACAGCTCTGCCCGAGTCACACCGTCACTAACAGACTCAGCATGGCTTTCAAACCCCTGCCCAGCCGTGCCAAGGCCCCCCGCTAGCCCTGTCCCTCCAGCTCCCCTCAAGAACGCTGGCAAAACTGCAACCATTGGGGCTTCCCTGGTGGCGCAGTTGTTGGGAGTCCGCCTGCCGATGCAGGGGTCCGATGCAGAGGACACGGGTTCGTGCCCCGGTCTGGGAGGATCCCACATGCCTGAGCCCGTGAGCCATGGCCGCTGGGCCTGTGCGTCCAGAGCCTGTGCTCCGCAACGGGAGAGGCCACAACAGCGAGAGGCCGCGTACTGCAAAAAAAGAAAGAAAGAAAAAACTGCAACGCTTGCAGTCCAAAAGACACTCTGGGCCCATCTTTTTTTTTTTTTTTCTGGCCACACCACGCAGCTTGTGGGATCTTAGTTCCCCAACCAGGGATCAAACCCCTGCCCCCTGCAGTGGAAGCGCGGAGTCCTAACCACTGGACCACCAGGGAATTCCTGCTGGGCCCATCTTTTTTACATCTTTATTGGAGTATAATTGCTTTACAATGGTGTGTTAGTTTCTGCTTTATAACAAAGTGAATCAGTTATACATATACATATGTCCCCATATCTCTTCCCTCTTGCGTCTCCCTCCCTCCCACCCTCCCTATCCCACCCCTCCAGGCGGTCACAAAGCACCGAGCTGATCTCCCTGTGCTATGTGGCTGCTTCCCACTAGCTATCTACCTTACGTTTGGTAGTGCATATACGTCCATGCCTCTCTCTCGCTTTGTCACAGCTTACCCTTCCCCCTCCCCATATCCTCAAGTCCATTCTCTAGTAGGGCCCATCTTTGCTCATGAGTTTCCCACTGCCTTGCATGCCCTTCTCCAGAATGCTGGCACATCCAGACCACAGCCATGTCCTCGGCTCTACAGACGCCCCTCACTCTCCCAGGGGCAGTGGCCGTCTCTGCTGCCCCCAGCCCCTCCGGCCATTGACTTGCCCTGGCCTTAAGGCACATATCACAGCTCGTCCAGAACTGTACTTATCTATGCTCGTGTCATGGTTCCGCTGGACAGCAAAGGCCTCAGATGTAGAACTAGTCAGTCTTTGCATCCCCCATAGCACCCAGCACAGTACGTTACACAGAATAAGTATTTCTTGAGGAAATAACCCAACTGAAGACCGAGAAAGAAGTCGTTGGCCATTGGCCCAGCACCCTGTGGTCCCTGAAGGTAGAGGTAGGATGAGAAGCCAGAATCCTGCCTCCAAGCTCCATCCTTAGGAGGACTTGGGCAGGAGGGGTCCTAAGCAGTTAATCCAAATATCTGTGTATTCCCTACAATGTATGACGATGTGCTAACCCTTCAGTTAATAAAAAAAGATGGACAAGATAGTGTGTCATCCCCTGTCAAGCTCTCAAGACACTTGAAATTTAATTGGGGGGGACCAACCCATAAAAAGGCAGTTCTTTTGAGGAGTTTTGGAAATCTGTCTCTTACCCCTAAGATAGCAAAGCAGCATTTGGTACATCCTCAAAGAGTGAAAGGGGAGAAAATAAGGACACTGCTGTGTACTGAGCTCCAGAGATGTGCCAGGCAGTGTGCAAGGCGTGCTCGCATTCAGCCCCTCATTTTGCGGGGTGAGATTGTTCCCATGTTGTGTGTGGGCAGGCTTAGATGGAGAGATGTTAACTCATCCAAGCTCACAGTCCAGATTCTCGCCTGTCTCTGTTTTGTTTTGTTTTTTTTTTGTTTGCTGCATTGGGTCTTCGTTGCTGAGTGCGGGCTTTCTCTAGTTGCGGCGAGCAGGGGCTACTCTTCCTTGCGGTGCGCACGCAGGCTTCTCATTGCGGTGGCTTCTTTTGCTGCGGAGCATGTCCTCTAGGCCCTCGGGCTTCAGTCGTTGCGGTATGCAGGCTCAGTAGTTGTGGCACGCAGGCTCTAGAGCGCAGGGTCAGCAGTCATGGCGCACGGGCTTAATTGCTCCGCAGCACGTGGGATCTTCCTGGACCAGGGCTCGAACCTGTGTCCCCTACATTGGCAGGCGGGTTCTTAACCACCGCGCCACCAGGGAAGCCCTCTCACCTGTCTTTTAACACCTCGAGCGGGATGTTCTCCACTCCTCAGCCAGGCACGGTGGGTTCTGGGATGTACGGGGGGCAGGGGCACTGGGAAGGGCTGGGGTTTGCTTGACTTTGAAGATGGGAGCAGGATTTCCGTCAGCGAAGAAGACCCACCAGGGGGCAATATTGGGAGTGAAAACAGCATGGGAAGAAGGGCTTCAAGGCAGGAAAATGCGAGGTCTGTTGCGGGAGTGGGAGGGCGAGCAGTCGATCGGCTTGGCTAGCACTGAAAGTTTGCAGCCAGAAGTGGCAGGAAAGGATTGGGCCACGTTATGAAGAGCTGGGTCTCTGCTGTGACAGGAGGAGACTGTGAGGGCCTTCAAGAAGGGGAGTGACCAGACGCGATTGTGGGGCTGGGGTTCAGGGGAGAGGCTGGTCTGGTGCAGCTGCTGGGGCTGAGGCTCTGGGGTCCAGGAGTCAGACAGTCCAGTGATCGGAGGTGGGGGACGTGTCATCCAGACTGATGGGAAAGGGTCACTTGGAGGCCCTCGTCCTTTCTTTTGTTCTGCTGGCCCAGTTCTCTGTCATTGTCCCTTCTTAGGTGCACAGGTGCCCAGTCAGCCTCTCCGGGAGTTAATGTTTAGACCTCCCCGGGCAGGTCGGTGCAGGGGGTGGGGCAGGGGCAATGGAGTGAGACGGAGAGAGGACAGAGAAACCTACGCACAGCCCCTGGGGAGGGGACAGGCGGCAGGGCCAGCGTCTGGTCAGGACATCTGGCAGCAGTGACCTTGCTGGGGAAAAGAGCCAAGAACTAGGTATCCTGGGCCTGGGACCACCCGCCTGAGAGGGGCAGGAGCCCCAGCCCCCTGCTGTGGACGCACTTGCCCATCCTCGAGCCTGAAGGCGCTCCTGAGCCTAAAGGTACGCTTGCCCTGTTAGCAGCCTGCTGGGTTGGGCGCGGCCAAGCCGTGCCCAGGAAGCCCACCCCGGGGCCTGGGCTCACAGGCACCTGGTATTCAGTGTTGCCTGCTTCTGGGGGGAAGCTTGTGCCTACCCTGTCCTCCCAGCCTATTGGAGTGGCAGGCAAGCAGTGCGGGAAGACCGACCGTTCAGCTGGCCTTGAGGAGTCTGGGGTCTTCCCAGGAGGAGGGGGCTAGAGGCAGAGTAAGTCTCCTCCTAGGGCGAGGCCAAAGATGAGGAGGAGGCAGAGCCTGGCAGGCGAGGGAAGGGTCTTCTGGCCTGGCTGTGCCCTCCCACGTCCCTCCCAACACCCTCCCCCCACCCCAGGATCCCTCAGCAAGGAATGACCTTGACAGCTACCAAGCCTCAGGTCGACAGAGGGAGCCCTAACTCTGCAGTCCCCTTGGTTCCAGGGCTGGCTTGAGGGGAACTATTCTGCCCAAGGTGCTCTCCCGCCCCTGGAGGGACATGCCTATGGAGTGAGAGGCAGTGGGAATGGGCCTTTCGGGACTGGAAGTGTGCTGTCCCAGGCTCTGACCTTCTCAGCCCATGGCCCACATGCCCACCCTAGCCACACCCGGGGCCTCTCCTTCCTGCCAGAAACCACCCTACGACCCTGCAACATAAGCCATCCCTCCCTTGTTCCTATCGCTCTTCCCAGCTCCACGCTGAGCTTTCTGGAATGGGGGACGTGGCCAAGTGCCTCCCAAGACCGGCCTGCTATCTGGCCCTGAATTAAGGTTCTCCTTCGGCCGCCCCAGGAGCCAATCCCAGAGCGTTACGGAAGGAGAGGAAACGGGAGAGTTGGGGGGGCTCAGTGGGAGCCCCGGCTCCTGAAGCTCCCCCACCCCCACCCCGGCACCGAGGCCCCCTCCCTCCATTGCTGAAGAAGAGGCAGTAGGAGCTACAGCCGCCTCCTCCCCCCTCCCTGCCGCTGCTGCCTCCTCGGCTGAGCCGGCAGGTTGTCTTGGCAACGGGAGGCGGAGAGGAGATGCGCTGAGGGATGGAGGTGTATGTCACCGAGGAAGCTGCCGAGCCCCACGCCCCAGGCCCTTGAAGGTACCGCAGACCCCCTCCCTTCCCCCTCCCCCTGCCCTCTCCCCTAGGCTTCCCCACTCTATCCAGAGTGCTTGTTTCCCTGAGGAATGCCCCCCTCCTCCCAGCCCAGCGACTCCCATCCATTCCTCCTGAGCCACCTCATTCCAGGCCCCTGTCCACAGCTGTCCTTCCTGGCAACCGCTCATTCCAGCCCTGCCTCTGGGGACCCTTGCACCGGAAGGCAAATATCCTGGAATGGGGTCTTGGGGGGTGGGTGGCGCATGAAAACAGGGAAGGAACCGAGATAGTGGGGAAAAATCAGGAATCCTAAAGGGCTACCTGGCACTTGGTCTCCTGGAGAGGGGGAGGGAGGCTGTGCAGCACTAGGGTGGGGACAGGGCAATAAGGGTGGGGTTGAAGGGGCAGAAAGCTGAGAGGCCGGGCTGGTTGTCCAGAAAGGCCTGGTTCCCCTCTGCTAAGGCTGTGGCCCGCTCCTGCCACATCAAAAGTGCACCTCCTCCTGCATCATCTCCTGGCCTTTTTTTCATGGGTCGATGGATCCTGTGTTTCTCTCCCACTCCCAGGCTTTCTAGTACCTTTCCACGGGCCCCTCTCCCGCCTCTGCCGTACATGCAGCAGCTAAGCCCAGATTCTTTCCACCCTTCCTCAGCCACTCGGCTACCTGCCTTTTTCATTTCTCCTTTCTTTCTGGAGCCCATCCTTCAGGATTCATTCTTCTCTGTCTCCCACTAACCCAGACACATCCCCCCCTTCCTGTCCCTACCCGTCCTCGTCTCTTTGAGAAAGAGGTCCCAGGGCACACCCTCACCTGTCCTCTCGAGACCCTCCCCCCTGTGGTTTTTCCATTCAGATACCCCAGAGCCCCCTCCCCAGATTCTAGATTTCCCCAACGACAGCTGATACCATCAGCTGACCAGCTGTGGGCAGAAGTTACCAGGGCAACAGTAAGGGCTGCCTAGGTAGGCAAGTCTGCACAGAGGTGGAGAGGAGGCCGTGCTGGGGCCAGGGTCAGCTGGCCGGGCTCCCTCCCCTGCTCCCGGGGGTCACAAATGAACCAGGCTCTGCTCTAAGCCCAGAGGAAACGAAAAGGCCAATGACAGGGGCCTGGAGTCGTGGAGGTTTTCCCAGAGACATTCCTGTAGTTCAGTGCTGGGACCTGGACATCACCTGGTGAGAACTTCTCTTGAAGACCCCAACTTGGAGAGAGACTGGGGGTCCGTCCCACTCACCACCACTGTGCTCTGTCCCCGGGGGATTTGAGTTACCCAAGGGCCAACCCGGTCTCTTGTGCTGAGCACCTGTTTTCTCGAATCCTCCCATCCTGTCCTCCCCAGGAGAGGGTTAATCCTTGGGTAACCAATTCTGGCATCTAGCCCACACCCCTGCCCCTCGCCATCTATGCGCTTTAGCGCCCCAGGGAGGCAGGGACCCCAGAGGCCTCTGTGGTGCTGGTAGATGATAAGTGGGAGACAGATGTGCTTGGGGAAAGCGGGTGTTGTCACCCCTCTGTTATCAGTAGAGCCCCTTCCCCCTGACTCAAACTCTGGCTGTTTAGGAGGCTGGAGGGGCTGTGTGTGTGAGCCTGTGTTGCAGGGTTGGGGGTGGGTGTGGGAAAGGGAAAAAGGCCAGCGGCTGGCCAAGAGCCTGCTTCCGATTCTGCTTCGTCATGATGCCCAGTTAATGGTCCTCTTGTTTGAAACGGATTGAGCTGCAGCAAGCGAGGTGGAAGAGCAGACACACAAACACACACCCGCAGGCCAGTGGCCACACGCTATCAGCTGGAGGTGGGGAGGGTGCAGGGGTGGGTGGGAGCCAGCGGCCCGCCCACCTGGCCGCCCGCCCGCCCCGCCTGGCCTGCCCACCGGCGCACACACCCGGCCCTGGGATTGCGCGCTAGGCTGGTGGAGAAGCAGGGTGGCGGCGAGGGGGTGGGGGCCTAGAAGGGTAAGTCCCCTCCTTCGCCGGCTGCCCACCCACTCACCCACCGCAAGCCAGCTTTTTTCTTGTTATTTGTGCTCTGGGAAAGCACGCCGGGCTCCTGGAAGAGCCGCCTGTTACCTGGGCTTTCAGGAAAAGCCGCAGCCCCGGGATCCGCGCCTGTCCCCGCCCCCACCCTGGGGCCTCAGAGCATCTGGGCCACCCTGTCCGGGAAGAGGTAGGTGGCAGGGTCTCCCACCTCTCTTCCCCTCTGTGGGCACTTTGGCCACAACACCTTCCTAGAAGTGAGGCTCTGGGTGGTGGCAGGGATCCCGGGGTGGGGGTGGGGGTGTCAGCTATGGCCCCTTGTTCAGTGGGAGAATGGGCCGGACCCTGGGACTAGCTGGGTTTGATCTGACCCAACCTCCTTCTGATTCGGGGAAGAGGGGCTGGGGTGTCACATGCTGCCACCCAGGGACCCCTTCCCCTAGCTGTGCTGGTCAGAAGTCCGAGTGATTGGGGGGTGGAGGCTCCGCCTTGAGTAGGCTGGAGAGCTGTGCCATCTTTGCTGAGTGGTGGAAGGGAAGGGGGCGTTGCCCGTCTCCCGCCACCATGCCACAGATGCTCCTGTTGTGGGGGGGAGCAGTTCACTCAGAGGCCTGAATGCCATCGGTGTGAGGACTGCTCCTTGCGGGGAGGGGCCTGAGGAGCCTCCTTCTAGCCCTTAGCCGGCCAGGCTGGGGTGAGGACCAAATGCAGAATGAGGCTGGGTGGCAGGGCATGGCCACAGGCCTGACCACGATGCTCTCCTGGTGCCGGCCGTTGAAGTGCTTGCAGGGGCTGAGGGCCGAGCAGACACGCAGGCCTCCAAGGATCGAGGCACCCCCTTGCTAGCTCTGCCCCTCCCTTGGCCTGGCAGGCCAGGCGCCCTTTCCCGGGCAGGCACACCTGGTGGTTCTTTCCCAGGGCACTGAGTTGCCGAGTTGTAAGAGGCAGGGGAGCGGGGACGGGTGTAGGAGAAGGCAGGCAGTCTTGCTTTGGGAAGGGGTGGGGCCCAGAAAGCGCCCACGGGATGGGTAAGTGGGCGCTCTGTGCCAGGGACGGGGTGTCAGCACGTGGGGTGGGTGGCTGTGAGCGTGGAGAACCGGAGCCAAGGGGAGGATCGGTGGGTGGCGTGAGTGGGTGTCACAGGCACCGCGTGTCAGCGTGGGGGGTGCCTCACTGGGAGAGCGGGGGTGTGCGTTCTGCAACCGTGTTTCGGCAGGGGCTGCCTGTGTGGGTGAAGTGCCTGTGCCCACGGGGGAGGCTGGCCTCCGCGCTGCTGGCCTCGCTATGGCCACATGTCCAACGCCGGGGTCAGCCTGTCCACCTGGGGGTGCAGGTCTGAGGAATTCCTCATTCAGAGCTCATGCGTGTGTGTAACGACCAGAAGAGGGACGCCCCCAGGATTCAGAAAGCTGAATTTGGGAGGCAATCTCCCTTGCATCTCCCCCAGCCCTATCAATCAACTTGTACAAGTGACACCACAACCCGCCAACAGGACCAGCTATAAATAGAGACCAGAGCAGGAACAAGCTGAGGACCAAGCAAACCTAAGGGGCTGGGAGGGGGGACACAGAAAGAGGGCCTTCTTCAGGGGTGTGTAGAGAGAGGATACAGAAACCCAAGCGAGAGTGCTAAGAGAAACTGTGTGACGAGATGCATATTTGTGCGGGGGGAGGAAGGAAGGAAGGGGGCGCCCGGGCCCGCTCCTGCTGTCATCAGAAGCAAACGGGGAGCAGGGCCTTGAGCAGGTGGGTTCCCAGGCTGGGACCCTGATTCTGGGCTCACCTGCCCCTGCCTGATGCTTCACCAGAGTGCGAGAGGGTGCTGTTCAGGGTTAGCATTAGAGGAACCCCAACTCTAGTCCTAGCAGGTAGAGCAGGGCTTAAAACTGGGGGTGCGGGAGAAGGATAAAATGAGAGGAGGGGAGTGGGAGCTTCATCAATCTTAGAAAAGGCGCAGGCGCAGGCTTGGCAGAGGTTAAGAGATGTTCTGATGAGCCACCGGCCCGGGGCGGGGCGATTTTGGGGGCGATTGTGGGTGCCCCCTCGCCACGCACACACAGACACAGACCCCACCCTCAGCGTATGCCGGGGGGCCTCCCCTGTTGGGCTGGTCTGCTCCCACCCACCTTCCCCCTCTCCACCCTGGGATGCTGTTTTGGGAACTGGTGACCTAGCTGGATCCTGCCTTTATTTCTGGCACTGAGTTGTTGCCACAGTAACTGCGGGGGTGGGGCTGGGAGGGAGAGAGGGTGAAAGGGAAGCAGAGCCAAGGGAAGAAAGATGAAGAAAGGAAAGAAAAAGGGAATGGAAAGCAGAAATAGCGAGATGGGACCCGGAGGCACAAGGCAGGCGGGCACACTCTGAATGAAACTGGTGAAAAAGGAGAGCGGCGGAATGCTTGCCCACCTGACCCGCAGCCCACTGGGCCGGCTCAGCCATTTCGCAGCTCGTTTACTATTTGCAGGGCCGGCCTCCAGCCCGGCTTGTCCCCGCCCCAGGGCACAGAGCCCGCGGTCCCCAGCCTCTCTGCTCTTGTCCCCAGGCCAGTCCAACGAAGCAGGATTCTGGTGGCTCCACGGTATAAGGTTAGCACACGGGACCCCAAACCCCAAGTTCAGATTCAAGTGAGATCCTTGGGGACCCACTGAAAAGAGCATTCATTGGCTTTGACCTGAGACAGACCTGGGTAGGAATTCCAGGTTGGCTTCAATGGGCCGAGGCGTGGGGGGCATGGGGGGGGGCAGGTCAGTCTCTCAACCACATTTTCATCTCCTAATTGGGAGACATGAGCTTTGGTGAAGCTAGAGAGGATGGGTGAAAGTCCCTGGCCCAGAGCAAGTGATGGTTGGTTTAGAACAGGGCGGGAAGCTGGACTAGAGGATACCAGACTGCGGTTCTGCCGGTTGAGCCTTCATTTCCACAAGTCGAGGGAGCCAAGGCCGGCTCAGCCCCTACCTGTAGCGGGCGCCCATGGGAATGGGTGGGCGGGCCTTATCATCAGGGCCGAGCGGCTCCAGTTGCCATGGAGACGGGGCGGGCGGTGTGAGGTGGGGCCCGGCTGGGGGCTCAGATAAGGCGCGGCTGCACAGCTGGGGTAGGGTGGGTCCGAGATGGAAGAACTGGGCGCAGCCGGGGCAGCTGAGATGGCCCTTCCGCCACCTGGGCTGGCCTTCCTCCGCAGCTCTTTCCCTTTCCTCTCTTTGCGCCCTCCCTTCCTACTGCAGTCTGCCCTCTCGGTCTGTCCACGGGAGGCGGCCCGGGCCTGGGAGCGCACATGCAGAAACGTGGGGTGTGCACGGGTGCGGACGCGCGAGGAAATTGGCTTTGGGGGAGGGGCTACGAGTGGGTGGAGTAAGCGTTTGCGGGGCGTGATGTGATTTGGGAGAAGGCAAGAACAGTCTCTCCCTTTCTTTCCCCTCCCCGCTTTCCTCCTCCCCTCCCTCTCTCCCTCTCTCCCTCTCCCCCCACCCCACACTCCTACTCCACCCCAAAACATTTTCCCTGATGGCTTAATATTTAACGAGTAAGACCTTCACTCCTCAAGGTTAGCCCCAAATTAAAATGCCATGTCCCTGGAAGGGTAAGACATTAACAATTTCCGCAGCATGCTTTCTAACGCACCGGGCGCTGGTGTGCAGGTTCCTGATGGAATGTGGCTCAGGGCAGAAGGCGAGGAGACCCAGCCTAGGGGATGGGCACGGGGCTGTGGACAGCTGTGGAGAAGAAGGGGCAGGGGACAGAGCAGGGACATGATTATTCTGAATCGTCTTTCCGAGTGGCTGCCTCTGTGGGACAGTGGTCGTGCACAGGCGAGTGGGGGGTCTCAGTGCAAGACCTTGTAACCTGTGACCTGGCTCATCTTGGACCCCTCCTCTCCCTCCCTGGGCAGTGACCACTCTGAGAGGCAGTCATTACCCCACTCTGTACCCACCCGCAACTGGTGTTCGAGGGCAGGGTGCCTGGACCACCTCCAGGTTCAGCCTGAGGCTCCAGGACACGTAGAAGCTCGCCATTCTCCACCCCTCCCCCGCGCCACACTCCCCCCGTGCCACACTCCCCCTGTGCCACACTCCCCCCACCCCCACCCCGCACCACCACCCCTCCCCCGACCGTTCCAGTCCTTTCTACTCTTCAGTCTCTGCCTAACCCACCTGTAGGGTCTGTATATGACCTTATCTCTCACTTTTCCTGGGAAAATAGAAGCCTCCCAATCGGCCTGCTCCAAAGGCCCCTAGATTGCAGTTACCCAGCTTTCCTTTTCCTCTCCTTTCAGGGAAGCTCGGGCTTTCTTTCCAAAGGTAGACCTTCACTTGGGCCTGGACCCAATCCCTCTCCCCTTCCCCTGCTGGGACCTTCCTCCCTCAAGTGCCCCCCCTCTCCTGCAGCCACAATTTCTTTTCTACTCTTCACTCTCCACTGCCTACAAACGTGTTCAGGTCTCCCTTTTCCTAAAAAACCTTCAGCCAAGCTCACCTCCTGCAAAGTAACTCTCCTAACCCCCTCCTGCCCTTCTGTCACACTTCTTGGAAGTGCCCCTCCCCCTGCCTGTACACCCTGGCCACCTCTCCCCACCCCCATCCCTAACAAGGAGGCCTCACTATTCCTCTGCAGGTGCTCTCAGAAGCCACCAGGGCTTGACATCCAAACTGGCGAGCTGTCACTCCTTTCTGCATGTCTTGCCTTCTCTGGGCGATGGACTCCTGGCTTCATGACATTCTTTCTCAACCCCCCTATCCCTCCCCACAGCTCTCTCTCAATGTTTTTGGCACACTTACTGTGTATTAGGTCCTTTACTAAAAATACAAAGAATCACTAGATACACTCCCAGCCCCTCGGGGACCTGGCCATCTAGTCTTCCCCCTCCCTTTCATGCCATCTCCAGCTCCCTTTTTCTTCTAGTCCCCTAGCGTTTCCCAGGATGCTGGGTTTTGACCTTCTTTCTCCCTCGGCAACCTCATGGGGCAGACTACCACCTCTAGCTCAAATGGCTCCCAAATTTCTGTTGCCAGCTACTGCCCCCACCTCAGCCTCAACTGGCAAGAAGTGAACTCATTGCTTCCCCTTCTCCTGTCATTGCTACCTGTTCCTCCCCAGCGGTGAGGGGTGGGGGCGGGGGGGCTGTCTCCAGATCAAGTTCTGTTTTGCACATTCTGCCTCTAGGATTCCTCCCACTTGGCCCTTTCCATCTTGGGCTCCAGGCCCAAGTCTAGAGCCTCACAATCCCCTGCTTGAACTACTGCCGTAGCTTCCTGGCTGGTCTCTCTGTGGACTGCCTCTTCCTGTCTATTCCATCTCCCAGCCTGCAGCCTGATTCATTTTCCCAAAGCACTGCTTGCATCCGTCACTTCTTTGTTTTAAATGTTTCTAAGCATTCCATAGCCCTAGTTGCCCACAGAATACATTCGGAATCCCCTAGTCTAAGTTCAAGGCATCTACAAATCTGGCCCCCAACCTCCTGCCCCAAACCAGTCTCAACCTCATGAGCTCCACGGTTCAGCCGTATTTGCTGTCTCCAGACAGACCCAGTGCTTCCCCGTGTCTCCAGTTTCCCTCACGCTGCTGTCTCTTTCAAGGATCCCTCTTTTAGTTTTTGCATGATCTCAAACCGGGCATCTTTCAAGGCCTGCCTTAAACACTTCCTCCTCTAAGAAAACCTTTTTATTTTCCCCTCTTGACACCCCAGCAGGAGTGATTCCTCTCTCCTGTGACCTCTCACAGCCCTTTATACTATCTTATCAGGCACACATAATTTTCTGCTTTGCATGGGCGTTATCTATACATATGGCCTCATTTCTGGAGGGACGGCTTAGCTCCTTTGACTCATCTTTCTGTTCTCCACAACACCACAACGCTCTGTGGTCATTGCAGAACAGGTGCTCAGAAAGTAGTGAATGAATGGATAAAACAATACATGACTGGGTGGGCGGGTGGATGTATATGGGTGGATGAATGAGTGTTTGCCTCTTGGCTAAGCCAGTGTATAGCTAGTTTGACAATGTCTGTTAACAAAGTAAAGACGAAATAGGAGTGAGAGGGAGCTAACAGCTCTTTGAGTATGTGCTAGAGTTTATTCCAGTCCTCACACATCTAGTTAAAAGCATTACAAAGGGAGTGTTAAGAAAGCAAGAGAAGGATGAAGCTCTGGAATGGAGCCCTTCCATTGGCACCTAGTCACCAGTGTGACTCTGATGGCCAGAGTCTTGTCTTGGAGAAGCCTTGGCTCTAGAATTCCAAAATGACTTGAGAACTGTGGCAAATGCTAGTCTATCCCCACAGTGAACCTGACACGGTACTACGGAGGCACTACGAAACATGCCAATGCGGAAGACATAGTCACTGTCACCTCCACGACTCTGGACACGTTTTGAACCTCTCCGAGCCTCGGTTTTCCTCATCTGTAAAATAGGTCTACCTTATAGGGTTGTTGTGGGGATGAAACAAAATAATCCTTGTAAAGTGCTTATCAAAGTACCCGGCATGAGCGTTCAAAACATGATAGCTATTATTATTGTTGTAGAAATTAGCAGTCATTCTAGTTAGCGAGAAAACATGTCAGGCAACATAATCAAGGACTAAGTTATATGATTCTCTTTTTAAGTCCCACTGGAATTCAGAGAAGAGTTTGTCAATGCGGACTAGAATAATAGGGGAGGCCTCCAAGAGGAGGAGGGTTTAGCATGGCCCTTAAAGGATGGGTGGCATCTGGGAGATGAGAATAGTGCAAGAGCGTGCGCAAAAGCAGGGAAGTGGGAATAAGGGCTGCTGGTGCAGCAAGTAGGTGGTGGAGACACAGCAGAAAAGCGGCCTGATACAAAGTAACAGGTGATAAAATTGGGAGCACCAATGACCTCAAGTCTTTCATGACCTTCTGTGGCAGAGTGGCTACAGAAAGCCACCTAAGTTTATCAGTCCTCAGGGAGATAGAAATAATAAACGCTCTACATAAAATCTATGTTTTAAACACTTCACATGTTGTAACCTACCTAATAATCAGAGCAACCCTATGACACAGATACTATTACCACCTTCCATTTTATGGATGAGAACGGTGAGGCACAAAGAGGGTAACTTGCCCAGGGTCACACAGCTTCTGAGTAGCAGAGTCTCCTCTCCCCAGGCATTCGCGTCCAGAGTCCATGCTCTTAACCACTACATTATTGCTGCCTCTTCCCTGTACGTTCTGCAGTCATCAGCTCTCTTCACTCTATGGCTTACTGCCAGCAGTTGGAAGACAGTTCCACTGCCACCATCACGTCAGAAACTCAGCCAGGCGTTCATTGAATGGTTATTTTTATTTATTTATATACATTTATTTATTTTATTTATTTATTTTTGGCTGCGTTAGGTCTTCACGGCTGCACATGGGCTTTCTCTAGTTGTGGCGAGCGGGGGCTACTCTTCCTTGCGGTGCGCGGGCTTCTCATTGCTGTGGCTTCTCTTGTGGAGCACGGGCTCTAGGTGCGCAGGCTACAGTAGTTGGGGCGCACAGGCTTAGCTGCTCTGCGGCATGTGGGATCTTCCCGGACCAGGGCTCAAACCCGTGTCCCCTGCATTGGCAGATGGATTCTTAACCACTGCGCCACCAGGGAAGTCCCACTGAATGGTTATTATGTGTCTGGTCCAGGTGTGTGTGGGGAGGATGGGAGGGCTGCTAAGGGAGTTACTGAGGAAGGAGACCTGGGCTGTGACCCCAGGGAACTCCTACTCTACTGCTGCAGACAGGACTCAACTTCTTAGGAACCAAGAGAGGGCAGTGCCAGCCTGGAGGCCTTCCTGCTGAACTAGGGGGCCCTGACTTGCAGCAAAGTAGCACTTCAGAGGGCAGCCTCAGCTCGAGGATTCCGAGATGGTGGGGAGCTGGGACGTGGCCTTGGCCCCAAAGGTGTCTTACCGGATGCCTGCAAGTGGGATTGCCTGCTGTACAGGGACAGGCACATGGGGGTGTGGCTCCCTCCAGCCGCCCCCTCCCTTCTCCACTGGGAGAGCGGCAGCCCCCACCCAATGACCTGAGCGCTTGCCCCCAGCCAATGACCTGAGCGCTTCCCACCAAATCGCCTTCGCTTTGTCCTCCCCTCCCCCTATTGCCGTCTCATAGTATTACTAAGTCCCTCTGTGTTCAACCTTTTTTGGGCTATGAGAGAGGGGTGGCACCGTGGACATAGACTGAGGGGAGGGAGGTCAAGGGCACCAACACAGAGTCAGGGAAAGGCCACGGCAGAGGCCGAGGCGAGTGAGAACCTGGGCCTGAAACTGACCCGCAGCCCCGGCAGGGCAGGTGTGAGGAAGCAGGGATGTGTAGGCTGCCCCGGGAACGGCTGAGCCCTGCCGTCATTTCCCTTCCAGCCAGAGAACAATGGCTCAAAAACTAGCGCAGCCCGTCCACCTTCCCGTCTCGCCGCGGGCCACATGCGATCTCCGGTCCCCGCGGCTGAGCGAACGGAAAGCCGGAGCCTCGCTCCCGGGAGACACGCGGGGCCAGAGGGGGCTGCCCTTGTCCCCGCCCTCTGAGATCGCGGGGCTCGACAGCCCCGGCTGGCACGTTCTCCCTCCCCTTCCAGGCCCTGCACTCGGCCAGCAGCCTGGAGAGTCACCGAGGGATGAGGACGCCACAGCCCGGGGGACCGCCCTTTCTGCTCTCGCGGCCCCGAGCGCGCAGCGCCCAGGAGCCGGATAGAGCCTGACGCCCTGTCGTCTCCCCTCGCGCACAGGGCTCTGCGAGTGATCCGGCCGGCCAGCTCCCTGCTGCATGGAACGGCTGCAGAAGGTGCGCGGGGCTACACCCACGCCGGGGCAGTGGGGTGCCGGGGGCACGCGGTGGGGGCCAGGCTCCCCGCGGAGGGTCAGGTCGGGAGTCGAGGATGCCACCTGGTGGTTGCCCGCGGCGCCGCACCCCGGGGCCCCAGAGGCCTAGTGAGGCCCTCCCCTGCCCCAGCCCCTCCCTCCGGCCCGGCCCTGGCACCCACACACATTCCCACCCGCCCGCCTTCTCGCTCTCCCCAGCAACCACTTACCTCCCCTGGGAGCGTCAGCTCCTCCCGAGGCTCCAGTGTTCCGGGCTCTCCCTCCAGCATCGTGGTGAGTACCTCTTGGCCACCAGCACCCTCAGGCTGGGAGGAGGGAGGGGTGGGGCGCACGCTGGCTGCCGGGCAGCTTCACTCAAATGATGATGGTCCTGCCAGGGCTGGCAGGCAGAGAGAACCCCAGATCCAGAGAAGGTTCTGCACACCCCCTCCTGCTGGTCTGGTACTGTCTCGTTGTACCCAAAGGGCTAGGTGAAGGACTATCATTGTTTTAAGGTGACACTCTAAACCTTTTAAATGACAATAATAGAAATATTAACTTACAGGAGCTGACATCTAAAACGGCCGCCCATCTTCTTCCTAATAAATTGCAGGTCTGGCTTGTAGGGCCAGTATTCTAAGGGAGGCTTTTGACACCTCTGTTCCATGTGTACCATTTCCCTTCAGGCCAAGATGGACAATCAAGTGATGGGCTACAAGGACTTGGCTGCCATCCCCAAGGACAAGGCCATCCTGGACATCGAGAGGCCTGACCTCATGATCTACGAGCCCCACTTTACCTATTCTCTGCTGGAACACGTGGAGCTGCCCAGAAGCCGGGAGGTAAAGGGTGGGAGGTTCCTCTTGGACAGGACTTGGGGGAAGGGCTCCCCCAGCCACACTGGGTGGGAGGCAGAATCCCTCTCATGCTTTCTTTCCTGGAGGCCAGACTTCAAAACAAGAAGGGGACCTGTGCACAGGAATCACCTGCAGAGCAGGCAGAGATGGGCTGCCGGCTGGAGGCTAGCTCCAGGTGGAGAGCAGGGGAGGCCATGTTTGAATGGTAGCAGCACAGAGCGGGGTCATGTAGGAATGGGGTGGGACTGGGCAGAAAGTGAGCAAATTTGTGGAAAGCGCTCAGGAACACTGAGCTCGGAGGCCGGAAGTCCTAGCTGAGTGTGACCTGTGTGACGGTGTGGTCTCAGTTTCCCTTCCTATAAAATAGAGGTGATACTTTTACCCGTCCACCTCACCAGGTAGTCAAATGCATGAGATAACACAGGACAGGTACTTTGTACACTGTGGTGGAGAAAGGGGCAGTGTCATGGCTGAGCAGAGAGACAGGGCCAGGCTGTGGGGAGACTTAAACGCCTGACAAGGGGCCCGGACTCCATCCTGGATGCTGTGGGTCTTGTCCCTTCCCTCTGTTGCTCATAGGCTCTGAGGTCAGAGCCATAGCCCCTCCAGCTGGCCCTCAGAGCACATGCACACTGCTCCAAGATCCTCGACTTCTTCTGCTTCTTCGTGGGTCCTAGGGAAAGACTTAGGACCCTGTCTAGGGAGAGAGAGGACGGAGGGCCAGCCCTGGGAGCTGGCAAGGACTAAGAGAGAAGAGGCGGCCCAGAAATTGGCTGGGCAATTGCAGAGTTGAGTGTGGGGGGGGGTGGTGAAGTGACCCACCTGGGGTCCTAGGGACAAGGGTTTAATCCCACCCTTGTGGCTCTGACCAGCCTCCTCTCCATTCACAGCGCTCGCTGTCACCCAAATCCACATCCCCCCCACCATCCCCAGAGGTGAGTCTGCCCCGCACCTGACACTTGCCCAGCCCTGCTCTGACCGGGCTCAACCCCCTTCCCCACACACGTCCAGACTGGGCTTGGCAGAGCCTAGGGGGTGATGGAATCAGTGGACCTTGTGCTGTCACTGGCCAGCTCTGGGCGCATCTGCGTCTGACCCAGGATCTCTTTTAATCCTTTCTCCTGGGCCAGGCAGCAACAGCAGGTTGAGTCCTTGGATAGCCTTCCTCTGCCCTGGGGTTGGGGGGGTATGTGCTAGGGTGGGAGGATGGAGATGGTGGAGGGGGTGGGGTGGCGGACCTGGGAGCTGCAGTGAACCGTACTTCTGCTCTGCAGGTGTGGGCGGAGAGCCGGTCCCCTGGAACCCTCTCTCAGGCTTCAGCCCCAAGAACCACTGGCACGCCCCGGACCAGCCTGCCCCATTTCCACCATCCTGGTAGGTTTTGGTGTCAGCATGGCTGCATCCTTGCCCTAGGTCCTCTTTTTTTCCTTCAGGAACCCAAGCCCCTTACTCTTAGTCCCCCACTCTCTGGAGTATATGCACACCACAGAACTGGCCAGACCCCCAGATGCCGGACCCCAGGCAGAGCTCCCAGAGATGGTGGGCCCTGCTGCATCCTCCCTCCCACCCAAACAGAGAAGTGCAAAAATCCCAACCCCTGAGGGGTAATTTCAGGATCTCTGGTTCTGTCTTGACTCTTGGCAGGAGCCCCTGAGTTTCCTGCCTTCTCCCAATCCATGTCTCTATTCCCTCCTCTGACCCAGCCTCCCCGCCATCCTCATAGCCTCCTTCTCATCCATTCTTGCTCCCTCTCCACAGAGACCACCCGCCCAGATTCCAACATCTACAAGAAGCCACCCATCTACAAGCAGAGAGGTGAGGGTTCCCCTGACCGACCAGAGCCCCCTTTTCGCCACGTGCCGGGAGGTTGTCCTGAGGGTGGGGGGGTGATGGGAAAACAGATGTTCATAACAGCATGTAAACTGCCCTGTGCTCTTCCTTGTGCATTGCTTTTACACCCAGGAGCTCACAGGTGTGAAGAGGGAGAGAGGAGGGAGTGTGGGGCTAAGGTGGGAGGTGGCCTCCGGGGGGGAGGGTGTGCCCGGGCTGACCTTGACCTCCCCCCGCAGAGTCCACAGGAGGCAGCCCTCAGAGCAAGCACCTCATTGAAGACCTCATCATCGAGTCATCCAAGTTCCCTGCAGCGCAGCCTCCAGACCCCAACCAGCCAGCCAAGATCGAAACAGACTACTGGCCATGCCCCCCGTCGCTGGCCGTTGTGGGTAGGCGAGAGAGGCCCTGCTGAAGCCCCAGGAACCCCCCACCCCCCGACCTGTATGAACCCTCCAGGCTCCTGCTTCCCCCGTCCCTGCAACCCCATCGCTCTTGGCGTAAGCGGCCCTGCTTGTTAGTCATTAACCGCTTTCCGTTCATTTCTTTGGCCGCTCAACAGACATTCGTCGAATTTCTACTGTGTCCCAGGCTCTGTGATGGGAGCTCTGGAAAGAGAAAGAGGAATGAGATGAGGTCTTGGCCCCCAATCGCTTTCAGTCGTGTGGGCGTGTGTTGCCCACCCAGCTTCACCGCAAGGCTAGAAAACGTTGCTTTTATTTTATAATAATAATTTGCGGTGTTCCCTTCAAGGTTGCAGCCCCGGGACATGCACAAAGCAGCCCCTGACAGATGCTCGTTGAGCGCGCGGTTGATTGACTGATGTGCCCACTTTGGTCCGTATTTCCCAGAGACAGAGTGGAGGAAGCGGAAGGCGTCGAGGAGGGGGGCAGAGGAGGAGGAAGAAGACGACGACGATGACTCCGGGGAGGAGATGAAGGCTCTCAGGGAGCGTCAGAGAGAGGAACTCAGTAAGGTAGCATCTCGCTGCCCCACCCGCATCCCTGGGCCACCCTGGGGACAGAAGTTCCATTCTGATCTAAATGGGTACATGTCTGAAGAGCGTCCTGGTGAGAACATGTGAGGAATTCCCTTTCTTTGCCAGGATGTCAGGCTGCTGCTTTTGAAGGGACACTAGGATTGCATATTGCTTTAGGGGGACACCGCTTACTGTTAGGGCCAAAAGCACAGAAAAGGGTGGTCCCGCCAGTGCCAGGCTTCAGCAGGCGGAGTAGTTCATGGGACGAGGAGAAAGGAGAGAGTAGGCTGCTGGCCTCCAGGGGAGGAGAGAGGGTGTAGAGAGTCACGGAAAGGCCACTGATGGTGGCATGGGCTTGTGCTCTGGGCCTTGTGACCTGGTTTGCAGAAGCCCCTGGGGCAGAGTTACACTGAGAGGCTCTGACTCCTTGCTTTCGAGGGTGGCCAGACCCAATGTGGTAGAGCGTCTGACCAGGACAGGCTCCATGGGCTCCAGGCACCACACAGCCCCTCAGGAACTCTGTCCCCACTTCTGCCTGGGATGGACCCAGCTCTGAACCTTTTGGAGATGAGAAACAGGTATCGACGCCTTGGATCCATCTTCCTTTCTCCTTGCCAGGTTACTTCTAACTTGGGAAAGATGATCTTGAAGGAAGAGATGGAAAAGTCATTGCCTATCCGACGGAAAACCCGCTCTCTGCCTGACCGGACACCCTTCCATACCTGTGAGTGTCACCAAGGGGGCTCAGAATCACCTGGCCAGACCCTGAGGCCAGAATCAAGTAGTCTGCTGAGTTTGTCTGTCACACGCCCAGCGCTGTGCTACTGTGGGTATAAGAGACATAGAAGTTTCGGTTGCTGGCTCAAGGCTCTGGCGCCATGTTCCAGTCATGGAACAAGATGAGATGACAAAGGATGGCATCAGCTAAAGCAGAATTAGCACATTTTGTTTAATTCAACAAACATTATTGGGTGTCTACCATGCTCTTGGCCCTGAGGATATAAAGAGTAAAACACCATAGTGCTGCCTTCCAGTAGCTTCTGGTCACGGGGAAAGTGACGTGGACACTGGGGTGTCAGTGCAGCATAGCAGGTGAGAGGTACACTTCAAGTGCTTTGAGAGGACGCTGATAGGGCCTGGGTCCCAGAGTTGGGGTCTTGAAGGACAAGACAAAGTGAGTGAGGGAGAAGGGCAGCACAGACCCCAGGGACAGTGTTGGAGCAAAGGCCAGGAGCAGCAAACGTCCAGCCAGCAGAGAGGACCTCCAGGAGCCTGGAATTACAGCGCACAGAGCGTGCTCTGTGGTGGCTGGGGCTTTGGTGCCATGCTGCACATCACTGAGGCTAACCTGGGCTTCCTTCGAGCATGATGGCTGCAGAGGAGGGGGGCAGATCTGAGAAGCCCAAACTGGAAGCTACAAGGCCTCTAAGAGCCTGGCCTCGGAAGCCATAGGGCATCCTTCTACTGCCTTCTGACGGTCAGAGCAGCTCCCAGGCCGCCCAGACACAAGGGAGAGGAAAGAGATTCTGCTTCCTGCTGAGAGGAACCACCCAAGGGCACACAGGCTGGGAGGTAATGTTGCGGGCCATCTTCAGAGACAGTCTACCACACTTTCCAATCATCTGGGTAAGGGCTAAAAATATACATAGGTCCAGAGAAGACGGAATGGGTTTGAGAACTATACAGGCACAGTCTGTATAGAAATAGCCCCGGAATTACAATTTTTCATCTTTACGATGGTGCGAAAGCAATATGCCTTCAGTGGAAACTGTATGTCCAGTTTTGAATTTTGACCTTTTCCCAGGCTAGTGATGTGCGGTATGATGCTCTCTTGGCTTTTTTTTTTTCTTCTTTTTTTTTTGGCCACACCGTGTGGCATGCAGGATCTTAGTTCCCTGACCAGGGATTGAACACGCGCCCCCTGCAGTGAAAGCGCAGAGTCTTAACCACGGGACAGCCAGGGAAGTGCCACGATGCTCTCTTGAGATGCTGGGCAGCGGCAGCGAGCCTCAGCTCTCCGCCAGCCACATCATCACAACGGGAAACAGCCCATACACTTACAACCGTTCTGTACCCAAACCACCATTCTGTTATCCACTTTCAGTACAGTATGCAGAAAATTACATGAGAGGTTCAACACGTCATTGTAAAATAGGCTTTGCCCAGCTGTAGGCTCATGGAAGTGTCCTGAGCACGTTTAAGGTAGGCTGGGCTGAGCTCTGATGTTCAGTAGGTTTGGCGTATTAAATGCATTTTTTTTTTTCTTTTTTTTGCGGTACGCGGGCCTCTCACTGTTGTGGCCTCTCCCGTTGCGGAGCACAGCCTCCGGACGCGCAGGCTCAGTGGCCATGGCCCATGGGCCCAGCCGCTCCGCAGCATGTGGGATCTTTCCAGACCGGGGCACGAACCCATGTCCCCTAGCATCGGCAGGCGGACTCTCAGCCACTGCGCCACCAGGGAAGCCCTAAATGCAGTTTTGACTTAACGATGGGTTTATTGGGGCGTGACCCCATCGTAGGTCGAGGAAGATCTGTAGAGGAGATGGAATCAACTGGACTTAGTGGCTGATTGAATATGGGTGGTGAAGGAGAGACGAGTTGGGGTTTTTGTCTTGGGTGCTGGGTGATGACAGACCTGGGGCTGAGATCATGAAAGAGGCAGGTTTCGGGGGAAAGATGAAGAAACTGTTTTGGGATGTGTTGGGTTTTAAGTGCATGTAGGTGGGAGCTGAGTTTGACTGAGTTGCAAGCTTGAGGCGCAAGTCAGGGTTCAAGCAGAATCTTCAGCTTATACGTGGTAGTGGGACCATGAGAAAAAATCCAGTTGTGTAGAAAAAGGGGAGGGAAGGGCAGGGTGCCGAGGGCTGTTCCTTGGAGAGCCCTCACACTACAATCCCCTTGGAAGGTTGGCTGGGAGGAGGTCAGAAGTGAGACCCAGCCTCAGGATGCAGGAGGCTGGCCTTGAAAGGGTCGGGGACTTGGCTTTGGGAGCAGCCCACATCAGAAGTTGAGGTTCGGGACTTCCCTGGTGGTCCAGTGGTTAAGAATCCAAGCTCCAACCTGAACAATTTCAGAAGTACGGACAGGCGTGTCATTCTGACGTAAGGGTAACATTGAAATTAATGGTCACTTTCAAACATAAAAAGGCAATCTAGAAATCATTAGGAGTGAAAATCTTATACACTTTAGGGACTTCCTTGATGGTCCAGTAGTTAAGACTCTGCACTTCCGACGCAGAGGGCACGGGTTCGATCCCTGGTCGGGGAGAACTAAGATCCTGCATGCTGCGTGGCTAGGCCAAAAAAAAAAAAAAGAGAAGTTGATGTCGTCTGTGAGCACACAGAGGGGGAGGCTTGGTGAGAGTGGCGAAGGTTCGGAACAGCTTCTGCTGGGAAAGGGAAGTGATGAGAGGCTTTAGGGTCTCTAGTGATGCTAAGGTACACGTTGTGGGCTTCATCTCCATAGCCTGCGGGCAAAAGGGGAGCCCTGGGCTGATGCAGGGTTAGAGTTTGGGTGCTGCTGAGTGTGGGTGAAAGTGGTTATGTACCCACCTATGGGTGAAAGGTCAGGGGGAAGTGGGGGATCAAGACACTGGAGGTTCCCCATGATATTGACCGGCAGATGTGCCAGGAATGTGGCTGAGGGAAAGCTGCGAACAAAAAAGGGCGCTGTGTTGGCTTCCCTGGTGGCACAGTGGTTGAGAGTCCGCCTGCCGACGCAGGGGACACGGGTTCGTGCCCTGGTCCGGGAAGATCACACATGCCGTGGAGCGGCTGGGCCCGTGAGCCACGGCCGCTGAGCCTGCGCGTCCGGAGCCTGTGCTCTGCAACAGGAGAGGCCACAACAGTGAGAGGCCTGCTTACCGTAAAAAAAAAAAAAAAAAAAAAAAAAAGGGCGCTGTGCCCGCAAAGTGTGATACCCAGGCTTCAGTGTCAAAGCGAAGCGGTTGTGGACGACAAGATCCAGGGGCCGGCCACCGGAAGGGGTTGCATGCTGTAGAGTGGAGGTGAAAGCCACTGGGCTGGGGGACTCAAGGAACCGTTAAGGCTCATATATGGCTGGGACATCCATAGGGTCATCGAAATGATATTTCACCAGGATGATATTTCATTGTGGGTGGGAAGAGCTTCTAATAGGTCTTTTTAGAGAATGTGGAATAAATAGTTAAGGCCCGAAGAAGGAGGCAGAGAGAGAGAGATGCCCCGAAGGTTGGATTCAGTCTTCATGCTCCACCAGGATTTGCTAGTTTGGCAAAATTAGCTCTTTAATGTGCATTTGGCCTTGCAAAGTTGAGTAGCAAAATGTCTGCCTCAGTGTCACTGTTGGCATCCTTGAACTCGTATGGGATCAATGGTCATATGATTGCGTAGATTACTCTCATAGCTGATCAACCTGAACAATTTCAGAATTACGGACAGGCGTGTCATTCTGACTTAAGGGTAACATTGGAATTAACGGTCACTTTCGAACGTAAATAAGCAGTCTAGAAGTCATTAGAGTGAAAATCTTATACACTTTAGGGATTTCCCTCACGGTCCAGTAGTTAAGACTCCGTGCTTCCAATGCAGGGGGCACGGGTTCAATTCCTGGTTGGGGATGCCATGCAGCATGGCCAAAAATTTTTCCAAAAAACAATCTTTTCAGTCAGTTGAGGGAGAAGTGTGTACTTATCACAAAAGAGAAGTGCTTCAACAATGAGGGCTGTGAAAGTAGACAATTCTCTACACAAAAATAAGAAGCATTAAGGAAAAAAAAACCACGAGGGTCCCCAAAACACATTTTGTTCTCACCAAACTTCCAAATAACATATTTTATTAAAACGTTTGAAGAAAACAATTCTTCCTTATACTTTTGAGTCTGTCCAGGCTAAACCTTCATACAAAAAAACACCAGTCAAAACAATTGCTATACCATCCAGCAATTTCTAGTCATTGGAGATGAAGGAATTTTGAGATGAGTGCAAACTAAGAATCCTTCTAGGAAAACCTGTTACCGAAAACCAATTTTCTTGAATTACAATCTGCAGTGCTTGAAAGCTTAGTGATATTATTGGACGTCAAGTTGAAAGTGACATCTGGTCATGCGAATGTCAAGTCCAGTGACTGCGGTGCCATCTAGCAGCGGAAGGTGCTGGGAAAACTGCAGCATCTGTTTTATAACATCAGGCATTTGAAATTTGATTACCAACGTTGCTAAACATAAAATTGTAATAATTCGATTGTTTTGACTAAACTTTAGATTTATTTTCATATTCCAGAGGTCCATCTTATGATGGTGAGCCTCATCACCTATCACTGGCTGACTATCAATTTGAACACTCGGACATTTGGCCCAAATGTCTATTTTGTGCACATCTGTTAGAGAGAGGGGAGGCATTAGGGATAGTTCAGAGCTGCCAGCACGACGTCACCTGCTGAAGGTTATGGGCAGGAGCTGGAAGCCAACAGAGGCCCACTGGCTTCCCCCAAGTCCCCCCTCCACTGCCCTGCTCCTGGCAGGGAAGGCCAGGGAATGACCCTCCGGAATGACTGTCAGGCCAAAGGGTCTGAGACAGGGCCTCCTACTCTCTTCCAGCCTTGCACGTGGGAACATCGAAGTCTTCTTCCCTCCCCGCCTACGGCAGGACCACCCTGAGCCGGGTAAGGTCCCAGGACGGAGGTCACAGGCCTCGTGGGAAGAGTGTGCGTGTGGGGCCTGTGAGGGACTGAGCTACGTGGGCACCCGGGGGGGGGGGCGGCCAGACCCTTACAGTGAAGGGAGATGATGTGGAACGCTCCAGCTTCCTCTGATTCCTTGGTGTCCTTTCCAGCTTCAGTCCACAGACTTCAGCCCATCCGGGAGTGAGACCGAAAGCCCAGGTGAGAGGCAGGGCCGACCTGATGCTGGGAAAGGGGCTCAGGAGGCCCCTGGGGCAGCCCGTGTCTGCGATGTGGGCAGGGCTCTGTGGCTGGAGGTTGGGGAGGCTGAGCTGGCGGGTTTGGAAGCCTGCTGACCTCAGAGCTGCCTCTGAACAATGGCTCTTCTCTCCCACAGGCCTGCAGGTGAGTGCCTTCTGGAGGGAGACACGTGGAGCGCGGAAGCCACGGAAGGACGGAAGGACGGGGGACTGGCAGCGTTGGGGGAGGGGTGCGGGGCTACGGAGTCACCTGGTGAGGACATAAGAAGCCTAGGGTAAGGCTGGGGAGGCCTCCCTGCCCCACTCTGGCTCACTGCGGCTTTGGTCTCCCCAGAACGGAGAGGGCCAGAGGGGGAGGATGGACCGGGGGATCTCCCTTCCCTGTGTGCTGGAGCAGAAGGTGAGGGGCAGGGGCAGAGGCAGGGGATGGTGGGCAGGGGACAGAACCGTCTCTATCGGGGGCTGGCCAGCTTGGGGAGAAGCCAGGGAAGTGAATGCACTGAGGGGTCCTCCTGGCTGATGATGGGAGGGGCAGCACGGAAGTTGGGGGAGTTGGATGGCAAGATGGCATGAGCCCCCATGGCCCCTGCAGGCTGATAACGGGGCCTGGGGAATGGAGGGGGTTACGCTGACAGGGACCTCGAAGAGCCTGATACTTACTGCCCGCCTCCCCTCCCCGCCAGATCTATCCTTACGAAATGCTGGTGGTGACCAACAGGGGGCGAACCAAGTTGCCTCCAGGTGTGGATAGGATGAGGCTTGAGGTACGCAGGGAGAATGTGCTGGGTGGGTGAGGGGCTACTGACGGGGCAGCCTCCCCTGCCCGGTGTGGGGGAAGGTGGCCCAGCCCCACCCTGTGCCTCCTGTCCCTACACTGCCGCTGTGTGTCCCCCTTGCAGAGGCACCTGTCAGCAGAGGACTTCTCAAGGGTCTTTTCTATGTCTCCCGAAGAGTTTGGCAAGCTGGCTCTATGGAAGCGAAACGAACTCAAGAAAAAGGCCTCTCTCTTCTGATGGCCCCCACCTGCTCTGTGACTGACCCTCACCCTTGCTGCTTCAGGGCTCTGGAGCTGGGGTCACTAGACCCCAAAGCATCATCTCTGGGGGGAGCAGGGTGGTGGGGCAGAGGTGGGGTTGGCTCCGTTGCCGAGGTCGAGGGAGAGCAAGGCCTCTGCAGTGCTGGGGCTTGGGGACGTGGACCTCCTTCCCCATGATGAGCTAGGGGTGGGGGCCCCTTCTCTCATCCCTGGTCCTCGCTGCACCGGGCAAACCCAGCGTGCACTCCAGCACACGCAGAGTTAGTGTCTGCACCCTCTCCCTGCCCCCACCCCCATGTGAAGGTCCCCAGAAGGGAGTGATGAGACACGAACATGACACTTAGTGGTCAGGCCTGTCTGCTGTCCTGACCAATGGGTGGGAAGAACCCTCGGGCCTGGTAGGAGGCACGTGAGGGTGGGAAGCAGCCACGCAGGCAGGGAGCGCCCAGGACCCTGGGTGCACCCAAGCACTCCTCCGCAGCTCACCTGGGACGGGTTCCCCTGCACCTGGGCCTCCCGCCTCTCAGCCTCCAGCAGGGAGGCCACCCAGCCCTCTAGCTCACCCTGTCCTCTCCTTGTGACCCCCAAGCTTCAAAGCCTCTTGCTCCAGCCCTGAGGCTTCCCTAGAAGCCTTGGCTTAGAGTGGAGATGTCGCCTATACAGACCCCCAGCCCAACATCAGCCTTCAGGCTGAGTCGGCTAGAATGCTACCTTCTAGCATCCAGGGCCCGGGCAGAGCCCAGGCCTTTGGGCTCCCCTGGACGGGATGAGGAGCCAGGCTGAGAGTCCTGGCTACCAGGTCCCACCCACACCCCTGCATCCCCCACCATGCTCTCTAAAGAATGTAATTTATTGGGGCACCCCCCAGCTGCTTTCCTCACCTAACTCTCTGCCCTACCTTAATCACGCTCCCAGCTTTTCTCCTCTCCAAATACACGTGTATATAATTATATATATATATTTTTGCCGGGGTCTGGGTTTTGTTCCTGCCCAGACCCCGACATCCCTTTCCGCCGTGTGTGTGTGATAATGCTGGGGGAGGGGGACTCTGCTTGGAATTAAAAGGTTGCATCGGGGCCCCAAATCTATTTGTTCTTTATGAGCCACCAGATATGAGTGAGAGGGACAGGTGATGCCAGGCTGAGAAAAGCCACGGAGCGAGGGTTCGAATGGCGGGGTACACAGAGTTGGAGGAGAGAGAGCGATGGCACACATCCTACCCTCCCCCATCCCTGGGCCAGAAAAGCGGGGGCAGTCTAGCAGGTCCTGTCTGCCTCCTCTCCTTCAGGGGCTGTGCAATGGTGACATGGATGAGGGGACAGAAACTCACACTCTGGAGCATGAATATAGAGCCAGCTGGGAGAAAAGGCTCTGCCCTTCACTGGGCCCCTAAATGCACCCCCTTGGCGGTCAGGCTCACCAACAGCTGACATGGTTGTACCCCTCCAGGTCTATGATACTCACAGTTCAATGGGGAGGCCAAACACCCAGTAAAGGTCAACTGTGTAGGAGTGGGCAGTGAGCTAATTGTCGAGGGTCAGGCGGGGAAAACTAAGGGGTGGAGAAATGATGGGGGAAATCCAGCAGGAGCAAGGGTCAAGTGGAGGCCAAGGGAGCAGGAGTAGCTTGGTCCTGGATGACTTGGCAGGACCGCCCAGGGGCAGTAGACATGGAACGGGCCTGCTGCAGTGGGTGGAGGGGGTGAAGACGGGACTGGAAGATCAGAAGGACTTTGGGTGTGAGGGCCGGCGGGGATGGGGCCGGCTCACCTGCGGGGAACAGAACCTGGGTTTGGGCACCTGAAGAGGTACGCAGTCCAGAGGACCCGGTGAGTTGGAGGGGGCCCTGCGTGTGAACCCAAGACTGGACCTGGCACCTGAATCAACTCTCCTGCCCTTGGAGGAGTTTCTAGCCCCTCTGGCTGAAACAAAAGCAAAGTGGATAAGAACTGCTCAAGTGTGAATGATTAAACTGTAGGAGTTCTGCTACATGCACAACATTGATCGTCTTAACAAACTTGCAAGGTCAAGAGCACAGGTTGTTTTCATCCTCCTCGAGAATGAGAAAACCGTGGAAGGGAGACATTCCACCAGCCTGAAGCTACAAGCAACTAAGGATTGCAGACTGGAAACACATCCCAGTTTTTTCACCGCTAACCTGGGTCATTCCCAGTATCGACACAGTTACCTCTCCAGGGGCAGCGAAAAGAGGAATGGTACCCGCACACACGTACCCAGGATTAGGTGTTCAGCAAAGATTTGGAAGGCTTATCCCGTTCCGGCATGAGCGAAACGGGTGACGAGGCCAGCACCCCCCTGTCCACGGAGCTCCCAAGCTCTTGAGCACCAAGGGGTGTGAGGAGTGTTTGATCACAGTGCACTGGGAAATGTTTGTGGTGCGAGCAGACTGGACTCGAAGTCCTAAAGGATCTGAAGTTCCTGAGAATTTAGAGCGGCTCAAAGTGGAGGTCGGTCCTAAAATAAAACCTTGGTGATTATTTAGTCCATTGGTTTCCAAACCTTTTTAGTAGTCAATCTTTTAAAAAATTAGATCTTACTATTAGCAATTAGAATACATTTATAAATTGATTTTATTTATTTATTTTTTTGGCCACGCCACGCGGCATGCGGGATCTTAGTTCCCTGACCAGGGATAGAACCTGTGGCCCTTGCAGTGGAGGCACAGAATCCTAACCACTGGACCGCCGGGGAATTCCCTGTAAGTTGAAATGTTAATTATTAATGAAATCAATCAATGAGAACAAGGAAGCTATTTGATGGATATAACAATTTTAAGTCAAGCGTTGTATATGACAGCCGCCCTTTCACCAAGCACAGGATCTAATTTATTCTTGTATTTGGTTGCACAGTAGGAGAGAATTCTGATTCACACAGATAAGTAGTTACAAAGTTGCGGTGGTTTAAAAATGCATGCAAATGTGAACGGTCACATTCCTCACGTTGTTGAGCGGCAGCAGCTAAGCCCCATCTCTTTGAATCTGGGCTTAGTGCCTTGCTCTTTCAAACTGTTTATTCTGCAACAGCCTTCTACCTTCATTTACGCTGACAGGAGGGAAGGGTTTATTCAAACATCTTCTTCCCAATGAGCTAAACTGGCAACAGAATTTAAATACATCGGTGGGCTGTATCATATATACAAGTATGTCCACTGACTTTTATTAGAGCTTTTGAAATAAAATTTTAAAAGTTAAACCAAATAAAAGGTTATAAATTTTTTATACACTTCCCCTATATTCTACAGTTCCTTGAAATATCTTGAAGGAAAACAAGTAGATTTAATCCATCCAGCCTGCTTCCTTTACCTATGAGGAAGAAGACCCAGAGAAGAACAGTGTTGGACTGACTCCAGATTGCTTTTTTTTTATTATTAAAAATTTTTTTCTGGCCAAGCCATGCAGCATGCGGGATCTTAGTTCCCCGACCAGGGATCGAACCACTGGACCGCAAGGGAAGTCCCCTAGATCGCTTCTTGATACACAAAATAGGCTTGTTTCTTCCCTTTGTTCTTATACTTTTCGGCCTAAAAGCCTCCTCTCATTTCCCGCAGGCTCCTCACCTGGGACCAATTGTAGACGAGCTGTTTGAAACATCTGTTTTCCCTAAGCAGCTGCCAGTGAACTGAGATCCAAATACTAGCTCAGCCGAACCCTGGCCTCCCCGTGACTCGGTCTGGACTACAGGCTCCACTCCACAGCACATGGCCAACTCTGGGCAGGCGTTGCCTCCTGGGCCTTAGTCCCACTGGTGAAAGGGGCCCCAAAGGCAGAGCCAGTGCAGTGAAACCCTAGTACCCCACAGCTCCAGGTCCTCAGATCTGTGACAGGGGCTACCCACCTTCCCTCGTGGGACCCCTGGTGCCTCACCCTCTCATCAGATGGTGTCAGGGGTCAGCAGGAACACATTTTGAACAGATGTCAGCCCTGTCCTCAGGAAGAATCTCTTTCCATTCCTGGGGCGTAGAGGTGGGAGATGGGAGCAGGGAGATGGGGAATGGGCTTTGAACTGGCAGAGCTGGCTGCTAGAAAGCCCCCTCCCTAAGGTCCCAGCTTTTGACATTCCGGGGAACCCTGCTCTGGTTGAGGGTTCTGCCTGTTTAACTCTTGGGTGTAACTTTCCCAGTGTGTCCCCGACACCGGAGACCCACCTTCTGTTTCTCTCCTTGGTGCATCTAGAAGGGCAAAACGAGGCCAGTGTGACTTCCTCTGCAGGACCTCTGGACCAGCACTGTATCCACTTAAATTAACAAGCAACCGGTGAAATAATTTTTATACTATATTTGGTTAACTCGATTTATCTAATAGATTACGTTTCAACTTGTAATCAACATAAAACATCATTAGTGACTACTTTACATTCTTTCCTTTGTCTGACATGTCTTCAGCACGTGTTAATTAGAACTAGCCCGTTTCAGCTCCATAGCCACGAGTGGCCAGTGGCTACTGTGCTGGACAGGGGTGGGGGAAAGAAGTCACGCTGGCCCCGTTTTGCCCTTCTAGACGTATCAAGGAAAGAAACAGGTGTGTCTCCTGTGTGTGTGTGTGTGTGTGTGTGTGTTTGTTGGGGGGGACACACTGGGAAACTTATGGCCAAGAATTACACAGGCAGAACCCTCAACCAGAGCGGGGTTTCCTGGAATGTCAAAAGCTGGGACCTTAGGGAGGGGGCTTTCTAGCAGCCAGCTCTGCCAGTTCAAAGCCCATTCCCCATCTCCCCGCTCCACGCCCCCATTCCCCCAGGAATGGAAAGAAATTCTTCCTGAGCACATGGCAGTCAGCTGTTCAAAATGTATTTCTGCTGATCCTCGACGTCACATGATGGGAGGCTAAGGCATTATGGGGTCCCACGAAGAAAGTCTAGAGACTTCCAGAACCCACAAACCTTCTCATCCCTCATGGGAAAAACCTGTCTGGTTCCACTCGCCCTTCTCTAAGGGTAGTTCGCTCGCTGCCTCCTGGTTCACCAAGAGGCCCCGGCGGACTTGACCCTGCCCCTCCGCTGCCCCGGCTGCCGGCGCCCCCGACCCCGGCACCCTTCCTTGCTGCCCGGCCCGGCCACGTTCGCTGCCGGCCTCTTCTCCGACCCCAAGCTAGGCCGGGCGGGGGCGGCGGGGCGGGGCAACCGGGGCCCCGCCTCCCTCGCCGCGCCTCCGGGTCGCCGCCTGCGCCCGGGAGCTCCGCCGCCGCCGCCGCCGCCGCCGTCGCCCGGGAACCGGGAGCAGGGCCGCCGTCATGCTGAGCCGGCTCGGGGCGCTGCTGCAGGAGGCCATGGGGGCGGTGAGGCCGGGGACGCTGGGGCGCGCGGGGCCTGGGCCGGAAGGGCGGGCGCGGGGCCGGGGGAGGAGCCGGCCGGCACGCGGGCGGGCGGAGGGCGCGGGCCGCCTCCAGGAAGGGACCCCCCCCCACCCGGGCCGTGGTGCCCCTTCCCGGGCCTCCTCGCTCCCCCGCCGCGCCCCTCCCGCGGAGCGCTCCCCGCTTCCAGTGGCTTCTTTCCGAATCGTGCGTGTTCCCAGCTCCTCTCCAGGTCGCTCCGGCCCCTAACCCTTCTCCCCGGATTGCTTCCTGTTTATTTCTCCTGCTCCCCAAGTCTCTTCCAATTCCCAAACTCCTCTGTGCCGAGTGATCCCTAGTCACCCAATAGTTTCTTCCCAAAATTCCCCCCAAGGCCCCTCCCCCAGCTTGGGTGCCTTCCTCCTCCCGCACGCTCCTCCCTTCCTGGTCACCCGGCCTTAAAAAATAGCTGCCCCTTACCCTGGTTCCGAGCCCTCGGCCGCCTCCAAGACCACGCTCAGGCGCACTCTGCCCTCTCACCTTGGACTTGGGAAGTGCAGGCTCCGGACTGGCCAAGTCCCCAGGAAGGGTACAGATACAGTCGGGGGGCGGGGAGGGGGTCGCCTGGCCCAGGAAACAGCCGTCTGCAGGGTACAAGCGCGGTTTCCAGAATACTGTCTTAACACCAGGCCAGCCCGAGCCCCACTGACCTTGAGTCAGGAGAGGCCAGCTGCGGTGCGGCCTGGGGCGGCCAGCGGGGACGAGGAGTGTGTGTTTCTGCCATTTTCTGTTGGGGTTGAAGGCTGGTGAGAGGCGCCCACGGCGGCTGTTCTCTTCATTGAGCGAGATAAAAGTGCCGTTTAGATAGGGTAGGCGGGATGCCCTCCAGTTAAAGCAACCCTGCCAAGATTCTGCCAGTAAAGTTAACAATTCTTTTGTCTCACAGTATAAACCCTCCCCCTAATTGATCAGTTGAGTGTATCACATGTTCTCAGGAGAAACACCCTTGGGTTGCATCCCCTTCCTCCCCAACACACACACCAAATCAGAGCTTGTTAATGGGTGAGAACAGTCTCAGCCTTAAGCAGACTTGTGAAGAAAGTGAAAAGCTTCAGCTCCTTCTCCTCTCCCACCCGCCCCAGGCCTGCCCTGCTGGCATTCAGGAGCCTCCGGCCATCCCACCTCAGAGGGGGTTCCAAAATGATCTCTCCTCCCTTCCTCCCCATCCCCAATCAAAATAACTGTCATTTTAGAAAGTAATCTGACACTCCTTCATACCTCTCTGGGAAAGCTCCATACACAAGGTGGGTGGACTGGATAGACAGGACCCTAGCCCTGAGAAGTGAATTTCTCATGCTTCCTATGTGGAAATTTCAGTGTCAGTGGCTGCAGGAGTATTGCTGGTCAAGGGGGATATTTTTAGGCAGGTGATCTTAGGCCCCTCAGTATACAACAACATATAGATGACGCCCTGGAAATTTGGCTGTCCCCGTGCGACCATCAGGAGAGATGGGGACCCCTCTCCCTCCCACCCCCAAGCTTGAGCATAGATCTTCCCAGGGCTGGGTCACCAGGTTAAAACCCCAGCAAGTTGCTTGACTCCTAGTTAAGGAGGAAGAGTGCTCCTTCCTGCCCTCTTCTGACAAAATAGAATAGCAATCTTTAGTGTTATTTGTAAATATAATATTATCTTAAAAAATTAATCATTTGGTGCAGTTTCCTTGGGCTGGAGTTACAGTAGCTAATAACAGATTCAGGTAAAGATTACCCCCCTGCTTTCTTAGCTCTAACGGTCTGTTTTGGCTAACCTTTGTTCTCCTGTTTCTCCTTTTCTTGCTGGATTTTTTTTTAATTTATTTTTTTATTTTTGGCTGCGTTGGGTCTTTGTTGCTGCGTGCGGGTTTTCTCTAGTTGTGGCGAGCGGGGGCTACTCTTCATTGGCGGTGCACATGCTTCTCATTGTGGTGGCTTGTTGCGGAGCACCAGCTCTAGGCGCACGGGCTTCAGTAGTTGTGGCACGCGGGCTCAGTAGTTGTGGCTCGCAGGCTCTAGAGCGCAGGCTCAGCAGTTGCAGTGCATGGGCTTAGTTGCTCTGCGGCACGTGGGATCTTCCACGACCTGGGCTCAAACCCGTGTCCCCTGCATTGGCAGGTGGATTCTTAACCACTGTGCCACCAGGGAAGTCCCTGGATTGTTGTTTTTTGATTTAAGTCCAGCTTAAGGCTTTAGGAGACTATAAATGAATTTTAAGGCAAGATGAGACCCCATCACAGGTTTGTGCGATGACTGTAGCGTGGTCAAGGGTCAGAGGGCTTTCCCAGAGACAAGGAACTGTGGAAGGGGCTGAAGGAGTTTGCTGAGATATTTAGTAAATATCAATGAGTAATCACTGTGCAGAGCCCTTTAGGGGCAGGCAGCAACAGAACCCTGGCCCTCAGGAAGCTCACAGTCTCCCAGAGAGATGACTGCTCACTCAACAACAATAGCATCACGTAGAATGTGATAAGATGCAGTCACTCCATATGGATGGTGTGTTTGGAACGACTGTGCGAGGTGCCACTCCTGTAAGAGTCGTGGTCCCCACAGCAAACTTTGAGAGAAGACAAGGCTGCCTGGGCCGCCAAGGCTGGGGGAATACTTCAAGGCCTCTGATTCAGTGTGATTGCTTCCTCCTGTCATAATGGTCTTCTAAGCATTCATCCTGTGTCTCCTACACACCCGCCAGATGACTCTTCCTCACACAGCTCTGATGTCACTGACCTGCACCCGGCGGCCTGCAAAAAAAATTTTTTTTAATTAAAAATAAAATCAGACTTCTTGGTTTGGCCAAGAAATTCAAGGCCCCACACACTCATCAATCCATCCTTGGCCCCGACATGCTTTGCAAAGTTCCTTCTGCAGGAAATGTCTCTCCTGTTTCTCTAATTGTTGAAATCAGACCCAGCTCTTCAGGTTTTGGTTTCCGCACGACCTCAGTAAAGCCTCTTTGTTCCATTTGTTGGAAGTGACCCCTCTTCGCCCGAAGGTCATTCTCCACCTCTCCTATGTTCTCACACTACTTCAGTAGTTGAGTTATTCAGCGTGTTTTATATTCTCCTCCACGGCATGTTTCTGGAGGACTGGCTCTTAGACAGCCTTGTATGGCTTGTAACATCAGGCATGGTGTCTTGTACGTGGTAGGCACTCAACAGATACCTACTGAGTGAGTTATGGAAGGAGGAGACACCCGGTCCTGTGGTGCAGTAAAGCATGAATTTAGAGATGCATCTGGGGGCCGCAGAGATGGCTAGGTAGGTGGTGGCCCTGAGCTGGACCTCACTGGGGACTGCTAGGACCTAGACAGGTATAGGGGGATACGGGGCCTCCTGGACAGAGGAGTGGTCGGAGCAAAGACTAAGAGGTAGGGATATAGGTAGGGACTATGCATTTTTCTCCAGCGAAAATTTACCCTGCAAGAAAAGAGAAGAAATGTGCTTTTTTGGAGAAGTTTTTAGGGGAACTGGTTGTTACCAGTTCAAGGTTAGTTCCAGCTGGGGCATGGAAATGGAGAGAGCACTTTGGGAAAGGGAGGAGGTTCGGGGGTTGCTCACAGCAGATCAGAATTCCCCCGGGGCGATCGAAGGAGTCAGAGGAGATGTGGACAGGAGCAGAGCGGAGAGGAGCTAGGGGTGCACGGCCTGTAGCCGTGGACAAAAGATGCAGCACATTATAAGTAAGGCACTTTCTTAATATTCCGCTAACGTTACCCATCTGGCTGAACTGAGCTGTCGTGGCCTTCAACCCGGATTTTCAGACTCTCAGACCAAGAGGGACCTGAAAGCTTTGTCTTTGCCACATTTTCCATCTGTATCATTTTGATTTTGTTTTGGTGGTGCTCTCCTGTTTCCCTCTATGTATCTCTTTTGTAGCATAACCACGATATATAGAAATGATCTGTTTCTGTGTCTGTTTCCCCTACCATCAGTCTTAGCTGCTCTGGGACAGGGGATATAGAATCATGACACATGCTCATGTCACAGCATTTCCAGGAGGGAGAGGGAGGTCTGAGGAAAGGAACCAGGAGATTGTTGGCAGATATGGAGACAATGTGCAAATGTCCTGGAGAAAATGTTTACCTGTTCAATTTGAGAACCCACGATCACGGTGCCTCCTCCAGGGCCTAGCACACATCCGACACTTAGCAGATGGTGGAATGTCCTTTCTTTTTTTTTTTTTTTTTTTTTTTGCGGTACGCGGGCCTCTCACTGTTGTGGCCTCTCCCGTTGCGGAGCACAGGCTCTGGACGCGCAGGCTCAGCGGCCATGGCTCACGGGCCCAGCCACTCCGTGGCATGTGGGATCTTCCCGGACCGGGGCACGAACCCGTGTCCCCTGCATCGGCAGGTGGACTCTCAACCACTGCGCCACCAGGGAAGCCCCGGAATGTCCTTTCTCATGAGTGCGGCGACCACTTAGGTTGTGTCTGCTCTCTCCACAGCGGGAGCCCAGCATTGACCTGCTGGAGGCCTTCGTGGAACACTGGAAGGGCATCACGAACTACTACATTGAAAGCACAGGTGGGGCCTGGTCTCCTTCCGCGCAGGGATCCCTGGAGGGAGCAGGGAGGAAGGTGTGGGTGGAGTCACCCTGCAGCTCAGAGATGCAGGTGTCCTGAGGAAGGTGACATCCGCTGCTCACGAGTTCAGAGTGGGGGCTGCCCCACCCTGACCTTCTGGGAGGGGACCTGTGTGAGGTAGGAGTGGGGACAGGGAGGCTGAGGTCTCACTGGCCTGACTCTGCAGCCCAGAGGTTGAATGCCGCTTGCCCCCAGCTTCCAGTTGGGCAGAATGTCCAGGCCTTCAGTCTCCAAGTGCCTGGGCCCTGTGCCTAGGGCTTACTGATTAAAGAAAAGAAATGGAATAAATTCCTCTTTTCCGTGAGCCAACTTACAGGGCATTTCTCTTGTAGAGACCTGGCAAGGCATGTAGCACACCTGGTCCTTCTCCCCAAGCCAACACTCTAAAAAGCCAAAGCCTTGGGTCATCTGGGCCCATCAGGATCACTCACCGAGGGGGCAGCGTCTCATTGGCTGCTTTGTAGTCAGTATGCTGGGATTGGTGGAGATGCACTGGTTGCCAGGTAACCTTTCCTGCATCCCTAGCCTTCCACCGCCTGGAGTTCAGACTGGGGTTTGATTCCAGCCTGCACCTTTCCTAAAGGCTTTTTTTCCAGCCTGAGCCAACCCAAGAAATTAAAAGTGGCCTTTGGACACTCTGAGGGACCCTCTGAGCGTTCTGTTAGACCAGGTTCCTCAGTCTTGGCACTGGTGACACCTGGACTGGATCATTCTTTGTTGTAGGGGGCTGGGGGGGGGTACAGTGTATGTTTAGCAGCAACTCTGACCTCTACCCACTAAAGGCCAGTAGCACCCCTTCCTTCCCCATTGTGATAACCATAAATAGCTCTCCAAACATTGCCACATATCCTGGTGAGCAGGGGCAGGATCACCCCCAGTTAAGAACAATTGCTTTAGACTGAAGATCCCTTTTTTTTTTTTTTTAAACTGAGATATAATGGACACATTAGGTTGGCCACAAAGTTCGTTTGGGTTTTTGTAGCATCTGAAAGAAAGCCCGAACGAACTTTTTGGCCAAGCCAATATAATTGCTGTAATCGATTGAATATACTGACTCAGTACATGGAAATACGGAGAAATGATCCCCACAATAAGCCTAGTTAACATCTGTCACCACACATAGCTACATTTTTTTTTCTTATGATGAGAACTTTTAAGATCTTCTCTGTTAGCAACTTTTAAACATACAGTAAAGTATTATCAACTGTAGTCACCATACTGTACATTACATCCCCAGGACTTATTTTACATCTGGAAGTTTGCAGCTTTTAGACTGAAGATCTCTTGGCAGGGAGCCCCAAGCTACCAGAGACTAGGAAAAGATCTAGAACTGCCTTGGGTCCACCTGGGGCTTCACCTGGGCCCAATCCGTTAATTTCCAGACTGGTCCCTGGACCGGAGATGCAGGGGCGGGCGAGGTGAGCTGCCCTGCTTAAAAGCCAATGCTTTCAAGAAAAGCTAGGGTGTGCTCCAAGGCCAGTCCCAAAGTACCAAAACGTTCTTTATAAAAATACTCTACCCTCTGAGACTGACTAAGAAAACCCCACTACTCAGCTTCTCCATCAGGACCTGGGCACTGTGCAGTGAGTTTGAGTCTGAACCCATGGTCATGCATGGATTTTTTTTTTTTTTTTTTTTTTGCTTTGTAAAAAAAATAGAGTATTGCCTTCCTTGAGTATAAAAGAGACATAAACAGGCCCCAGGAGGTTATCTGTCTGGAAGCTGATCGAAGATGGCTTCTAAATAATATAACAGAGACCCCTGAGCCCACAGCTTTTCACTCAGGCCCAGAGCAGGCCTGAAGCCCTAGCAGGTGTCCTTCTGTAGGCCCCAGGGTTCAGAGAAAAAATGATGCTGCTTTCCTCTCATAAAGTGCTGGGGCCTGCACACATGCTCCGTCAGAGGGCTGTATCCTGGGCTTCATCTAGGAGGTCTTTTGTCTTTTTAACTAGAGAGGCATCAACTGTAAACTCCCCTTTTCTCTGGTCTTTGACGAAAAGTGTTAACCTGGCCTGCTCCAAGTTGGCCTCCACCTCCCTCCGCCCCCTAGGCCCTGTGGGCTTGACCCCATCCAGCCAGAGTGCGCCTCTTCACCCCATTCACCTTGTTTGCTGAATCTTGATTAGATGAAAACACCCCGGCCAAGAAAACAGATATTCCCTGGCGGCTGAGACAGATGCTGGACATCTTGGTGTATGAGGAGAAGCAGCAGGCGGCGGCCGGTGAGGCGGGGCCGTGTCTGGAGTACCTACTGCAGCACAAGATCCTGGAGACCCTGTGCACGCTGGGCAAGGCCGAGGTGGGCAGGACCCCGGGTGCCTCTGGAACTTTCCACCTGAGCCGGTGTCCGGCAGGTCTACCTGTGCTCCTCCCGGTGCCCACACTGGGGGCGGGGCACTGAGGCTGTCTCAGAACACCCCGAGGCTTCGGGCCCTTGCTTATTTGCTTTGGTGGCGTGTTCTCGCTGTCGTCGGGGTTGAGGACGTGTTTCCTTTTGTTCAGTCCGCGTTCGTTCATCAAAGATGCACTGAGGACCAGCCGTGTGCCAGTCTGTGTCCTGGGTACTGGGGACCCGGCAGTGATTGAAACAGGCGAAAACTCTAGTGGGGAGAGGCAGAATAATCAAAGGAGCCCACGTATAGTATGTTCAATAAGGACAAGGTTATGGACGAAAATAAAGCAGGAAGGGGGCGGGACTTCCCTGGCGGTCCAGTGGTTAAGACTCCGCGCTCCTGATGCAGGGGGCACGGCTGGATCCGTGGTCGCAACTAAGATCCCGCATGTGCGGCCAAAAAGGAAAAAAGCAGGAAGCGGGCTTGGCAGCGTAGAGGAGGCCGGTTTCCAAGCGTGAGGGAGGGAGGCTGGCGGAGAAGGCCCCTCCGCGCAGTGAGGGGCGGAGCGGTCCGGGCGGGGGCGTGGCCTCGCCGCCTGACTGACAGGCACTCTCCCCCGACCCGCAGTACCCGCCAGGCATGCGGCAGCAGGTGCTCCAGTTCTTCAGCAAGGTTCTGGCCCAGGTGCAGCATCCCCTCCTGCATTACCTCAGCGTCCACAGGCCTGTGCAGGTGAGGGACCCAGAAGCTAAGGGGTGTCTGGGGGTGAGGCCTATGCTTTCAAGAAAAGCTAGGGGGTGCTCCTAGGCCAGTCCCAAAGCACCGGACCTTTCTCTACAAAAACACCTTCTGAGACTCTAAGAAAGCCCCCAAATCCAGCTTCTCCATCAGGACCCGTGCCGCAGGTTTGAGTCTGAACCCACGGTCGTGCACGGGTTTTTTTTTTCTGCCGCCCCATTCTTCCTTCTCTTCCCTGCCACCCCATTCCCCTCTGTCTCTGTCCTGCTCCGCTTCCAGAAACTTCTCCGACTTGGTGGGACAGTTCCTGGATCCCTCACAGAAAAGGAGGAGGTGCAGTTCACCACTGTCCTCTGCTCCAAGATCCAGCAGGATCCAGCCCTGCTCACCTATATTCTAGAAGTGAGCGCCTCTGGGGAACAGGAGCGGGAGGGCCCAGACCCCAGGGCAATCCCCCGTGGCCCTTCTGAAGAAGCAGAAGGATGGAGCAGGAACCGGGGAGGCACTCAGGCAGCTTCCCCTCCAGCTCCACGCTGAAGCCGCCCACCCCGTATTCCCAAGGGGCCATCATGGGGAGTGGTCTGCACCACAGCCTGGCCTCACGCAGCCTCCCTTGCAGGGTAGAAAGACCGTTGGTAGGAAGGAGGCATCCAGAGAAGCCACCGCCCTGCCGAGAGAGGCAGCTGGCGTCAAGAACGAGGAGCAGCCCCACAGCAAAGCTCCTGACAGGGGTGCCCGGGGGGCCCGGGCCTTGAGCACCCAGCTGCCTGCTGAGACCGAGGAGCCAGATGGAGGCACTGGGGAGAGCAACCTCATCACCTCGCTGATTGGCTTGTGCAAGAGCAAGGTGCCGGCTGCCGAGACGCAGGGAGCAGGGATGGGGAGGGCGAGTTGCTGGGAGGGCACTTGGGGGATCCGCCGCACGTCACTGAAGTTGTACCCTTATCCCCTAGAGAGGTCGGGTGGCCCTGAAGGCCCAGGAGAACCTGCTGCTCCTGGTAAGCGTGGCTTCCCAGGCAGCTGCCACCTACCTGGTGCAGAGCAGCCCTTGTTGCCCTGCCATCGTCGAGCACCTCTGCCAGCTGTACCAGTCCCTGCCCAGCTTCCTGGACCCCGCAGACATTGCCACTTTAGAGGGCATCAGCTGGAGGTAGGCGCTCGGCCAGGGAAGGCTGGGCTGCATCTTCAGAAGCCCTGCCCGTCATGTTCCCGGTAGCGGCTCTTCTTGTTTTCCAGGGGGCATGGGGACCCCTGCTGGCCACCGTCTTCCTGAGGTTACAGCCCATGCCCAAGGGCCTTCTTGCCTTCCCAGGAAAGCATCACTTTGGCTTCTGCCCTCAGAGCCCCCAGTAGAACTGACCCCCCGCAACAGAGGTTCTCGGGCAGAGGGCCAAAGGGCCCAGCTTCCTGGACAGAGCTGAAGCAGGCCTCACAGACCTCCCTCGCTCTCCCTCAGGCTACCCAGTGCCCCGTCTGATGAGGTCTCCTTCCCCGGCAAGGAGACCTTGGCTGCCTTTTTGGGCTGGTTTGATTACTGCGACCACCTCATCACAGAGGCACACACGGTGAGCGGGGTGGGCGATGGCAGGGCTCTCCTTGGGTGTCCCCCGCTTCATGGTGCTCTGTTTGTGTCTCTACCTCAAGGCCCCAGGGGGTCTCTTGGGAGCAGGGTGGGGCCCGGGGTCAGCAGAGACCCTCTACCTGTTGTTAGGCTCTGGGCAAGGACACAGCTGTTTCTCAGTGGAAAATTGTCGATCGGAGGTAAAATGTGTTTGAGACGTGTTCTTTGGCGCCCAGGTGGTTTCGGATGCCTTGGCAAAGTCTGTGGCTGAGAAGTTATTTGTGGAGATTCTGCAGCCCCAGCTCCTGCATGTGTAAGTTCTGTGCAGTTCCCTTGGGCGTAGCCATAGTCTGGGCGAACCACCCACCCCACCAAGCCCCTTCCTGCGCCTGAGACCAGGGACCTCCTTGTCCAGGGTCATGGGGGTCTGTGGGCTCCGTCAGTTGATGTTTGCCTGTTCCCCTGACACCCTCGTGGCTCAGAGCTACGTGGGCTAACAAAGGCCTCCCACCCTTGGACTATAGGACCTCAGGAGGGGGTGGGGTGTGAGCAGAGAAATACCAGCCGAAAATGCAAGGGAACCAGGAAAGTGTGCTGCCCCCTACACCCCTTCCCTCCCTGCCCCTACTCTGGTCTCAAGGGCCCCGCCTGGCTCAGCGCGCTCTGCCTGTAGGTCTGAACAGAGCATCCTGACCTCCACCGCCCTGCTCACCGCCATGCTGCGCCAGCTCCGCTCCCCTGCGCTGCTGCGGGAGGCCGTGGCCTTCCTCCTGGGCACGGACCAGCAGCCTGCAGCCCCCGAGGACAGCCCTCACACCCTGGGCGGCCACCTCGTCAGGCACTGCGACCACCTCTCTGATGAGGTGAGGCGGGCGGGCCCTCCTCTCTAACCGCTCCCTGGCCCCCAACCCCTGCCCAAGGGACTTCCTGAAGTTTCTTTCCATTTGCATTAGCTTTCCAGGTGGTTCTACCTTTGAGGCCATTGAAATCCAACTCCCCACCCCCACCCCCACCCCCGCCCCCAGCCAAAAAAAGGCAGAAAAAGGCAGTGACCCAGTGATTGGTAGCCAAACTGCTTTTGTCACACAGTTAATTTTCTGTGATCACATACTTGTGATGGCACTCTTTATCTTACAAAATGCTTTTATATTCATTTGGCTTGTTTGAAGCTGACAGCTCCGGGCCATTTGTTAGACATGGAAACTAAGGCTCCGAGGAGCCAGTGGGCTTGCCTGATACCACACCTCAAATTAGTAATGGGACAGGGACCAGCCAGACTTCTGGTTCCTGGGCCAACACCCATCTGCTCCCCTTAAAACCTGCCACCTTAGCCCCCGGCTGGAGGAGGTGACCCCCTCCTAGGGGGACTCCTCTTATCTGGGTGACCACTTCCCAGGCACCCCTAGAGGCCGGGGTGGGGAAGGGGTGTCCTGCTGACCGCTTCTTGTCCCAGATCAGCATCGCCACGCTGCGGCTGTTCGAGGAGCTGCTCCAGAAGCCCCACGAGCGGATCATCCACAGCCTGGTCCTGTGCCACCTCGAGGGCCGCCCTTACGTGGCCCGGGGCTCGCCCGAGCCCGAGAGCTACGAGGACACCCTGTAAGTGAAACTCAGTGCCTCGGGGAGGCCTCAGACCATTCGGGACCCCGCCCCCGCCGGCCCCCAGCACCCCACACCATTCCTGCGTTCACTGGTGCCTCGCTTGTCTGCCCTGGCACAGAGATCTGGAGGAAGACCCCTACTTCACGGATGGCTTCCTTGACTCTGGCTTTCAACCCTCCATGAAGCCTCCCCCTGCCCCCGTCACCAACCCCGATGGCAAAACAGCGGTGACCGAGGTTGTCAACAGGTAGGAGCAGGTCAGGAAGTCTGAGCCGCCTGAGTTTTGTTCCGTCTTTGGCCACAGCCCTGCTGGGGTGCAGCTGGGAGAGTGTTCCCTCGGGGCTGGAGGTGGAGCGGGGAGAGCAGGGCGGCCCAGGCGGGGACACCTCCACACCTAGGGTCCTGTCTCTTAGTTTCCTCTGCCTCGTTCCTGAGGAAGCCAAGACCTCGGCTTTCCTGGAGGAGACCGGATATGACACGTACGTCCACGATGCTTACGGACTGGTGAGTGTCAAGGCCTCTGCCCGCGCCCAGTTCTCACCGCTCAGAGCGTGGGGTTAATACACTCTGCTCCTGCGATCTCCCGCCCGAGGTGCTCCCAGCTCCGGCCAAGTGCCCGAGCCCCACCCGCCTGCGTGGCTCCCTCTGTCTGCTGGTGCCTCCTGACCGCTGGGTCCACCTCTTTTAACTCTCCCCTCCTGTTTCAGTTCCAGGAGTGCAGCTCCCGAGTGGCGCCCTGGGGCTGGCCACCAGCTCCCCCACCCCTGGACCCCCATGAGCCCGAACGGCCTTTCTTTGAGGGTCACTTCCTCCGAATGCTGTTCGACCGCATATCCCGGATTCTAGAACAGGTGCCCGACAGGGCTGGGCCCCTGCCACAGGGCGAGGGCCTCTGGAGTCCTTCAGGAGAGCAGGGCCCAGCCGTGGGGGTCCAGTCATCTTCTCTGCTCTGGCTCCACGACCCTCCTCAAGCGCCACCTTTCCCCAGGCGGGAAGCCCCGTCTCGCCTCTGCTCCACATGCCCTGACGTGCCCTGGTCCTCAGCCCCAGGGAACCCGTGACACACACATCACATGCATCTCCAACCCCCGCGCGCGTTCACACTGGCCAGGCGCCTTGCTGGGGGGTGGGGGGCGCAGAAGTGCTCACCGCCTGTGCCAACCCTTGCTCGTCCACCGTGCTCCCCACAGCCGTACAGCCTGAACCTGCAAGTGACCTCAGTCTTGTCCCGGCTCGCCCTCTTCCCCCACCCCCTTATCCACGAGTACCTCCTGGATCCCTACATCAACCTGGCCCCTGGCTGCCGGAGCCTGTTCTCTGTGCTCGTCAGGGTAAGGATGCCCAGGCCAGAGGGAGCATGCCAGTGCTGAGGACAGGAACGAGGGGGACAGGACAGGGGTGCTGGGGGCTGCAGGAGTGGGCACCCTTGCCAGCTCCGGGGGAAAGCACTGGTACCACCCCCCTCCCATGGTGCGACAGAGCGAGGGGCCCTGCGGCGGTGTCGCCGGTCTCCTCCTCAGTCCCCTCTGCTCCCGCTCTAGGTGATCGGGGACTTGATGCAGAGAGTTCAGAGGCTGCCCCAGCTCCCAGGCAAACTGCTGCTGGTGCGCAGGCACCTGATGGGCCAGGCCCCCGGGCGGCAGTAAGTAACGGAGGGAAGCGGGTGCCCAAGGAAGAGCCCTGGGGTGGGAGATCCAGGGCTTCCGGGTGCGGGAGGCGCCAGGCCGGGGACAGAGGAGGGCCCGTTGCTGAGGCCTGTGGTTCCTCACGGACAGAGGTGGCTGCCGCCGGGTGATCCCTCACAGACACTGGGATACCACGCTGGCACGCTCCCCACACCTCCCAGCCGTGACCCCCGCCATGCTGTCTCCTTCAGGCTGGACCACCAGACCCTCCTCCAGGGCGTGATAGTCCTTGAGGAATTCTGCAAAGAGCTGGCTGCCATCGCTTTCGTCAAGTTCCCCCCACATGGTCCTCACCTGCGCCTCTCTGAACCCCCGGAAGGGCACGTCTGAACCAGCAACACGACACCTCTGCCCGAGAGCTGCCTCCCGCCTGGCACTGCCGCCACCACTGTCCTCCCGGGGTGGGGGCTTGGCTCCGTCTCCTTCACATCCCGGGGACCTCCGCCTGGGTGGAGGTCTGGGCTTCCACTCTCGGGTTAACTCAAGACGACCTTGGCCTGTTGGCTCCACCAGACTGGGTTTCAAGGAGTGGGTCTCCGAGGTATCAGAAGCCAAGTAGCAAAAGAAGTGGCTTTCTGGGCAGCATGGTGTCCTCGGGGCCTTCTCTGGGGAGCTGGGTGACGGCCAGGTGAGCCCCCAGACCCAGAGCTTCATGTGTCCTGTGCCTGTCACCTGTCTCTGTGGGCCATCTGTGGCGAAGGCCAAGACCTGAGACTCATTCCAGGGGCACGAGGGGGAGTGAGCTGATGGCTCTGAGGCTGGTCAGGACCACAGGCCAGAGAGATGCGGGCACGACCCTGTCTCTGCCACACCAAGTACCATAAATGCTGCCGAGACTTGACGTTTTCTCTCCCGCCTTGGCTTAACCCTTGGGGAAGCGGCAGTGGACAGCAGGGGAAGCCCCTCTTCCCGCTCAGCCCTCCTGGACTGTTGCACAATTGCCAACAGCCTCGTGGCAAATGCCCAAAGCATGCTCCGCACCCAGCTGGGGGCAGCCGCTTATGAGAAGCTTGATGCAGCTGCAGCCAGGGTGGGAGAGGGCCTGGGGAGCCCGGGGGGCTGGATGCCAGGCTCCAGCTCCAGCTGGTTTCTCTCTGGCGCCTTCTGAACTTGTCTCGGCAGGTCCCCGACACCTGGGCAGAGGGGCTCAGAGACCGGGGGAGGCCAGGCCTTGCCCTTAGCATCCTGCCAGGGTTCTCCATGGAATTCAATCCCAGCGGTGCTGGAAGCTCTGGATCCGGGTGAGGCCAAGATGCCCACCGGACCGTAGGCCCCACCCCAAGGCTTGGCCGGGGAGTGGGGCTGGGGTACAGGCAGCCAGCCGGTCATGGTGTGGTTCTCCCTGCATGACATCCACGGCTGGGGCCGCCACCCGGCCCGGCCCGAATCTGTCTCAACCTGCAGGAGCACCCAGGCGGCGCCAGGCATTACCTCACAGCAAACTGCACTTGCTGGCTTCACTCCTGGGCAAGGAGGAGCAGGCCAGAGCCCCACTCGCTTCATTTTCCTGCCCATGCTGCTTCTAGAAGCCGTCCACAGGTTGCCAAGAGGCGACGTGAAAGAGGAGGAAACTCAGTGACCTCTACCTCTCCTGCATCCCTCCAAGCGGAGGAAGATTTAACTGCTGCCCCGGAGGACACTGTGCACGTGCCTGCACGCGTGTGTGCGCACGTGGGCGTTGGTGTGGGACAGGGGAGCCGAGCTCAACGGGCGGATTGGGTCTGGACTCTTCGATTCAGAAAACGTTTGAGCGTCTGGGAGTCAGACACTCCGCTCCCCAATGCACTCGGGCATTCGCACCGTGTCCCCCGCTGGACAGCACGGCAATAAATGGTGTGGTTGTGTGGACACAGCTGCCCTGTTCTTCTGCACCCTTTGTGTCCTTCTGCCCAGGGCTCCACTGCTGATTCAGGCCCATCTTCCTAAGGGAGGCGAATTAAATTCCTTTTCCAGCACAGGGGTGTAAGGGGGCAGTGTGTGTGTGTGTTGGGGGCCGGAGGGGGAGTGGTAAACAGAGACAGGCTCTGGCAGTGCAGATCTGATGTTCCCCGGCACCTACCAGGAACCAGCCTCTCTTGGCCAAGCAGCACTATTTTTGCGCGGCTTGCCTACAGCTGAGAGCCGGCAGCCCTGGAGACGCCACGAGGGAATGGGCCACCTGAGGCATCTGTATGCAAGTCTCCTTTTTAGTGTTTATGTTGTGAGCGGTATGACTGCTTTAGTGGTGAACAGTGGGCCTGATGATACTTTAAAAGATCTTGTCCCTAAGTGTATGCGTGTGGCGACCCTCTGAGGGGGGGGTCCCCAAGAGTACTCCAAGGCAGGGAAGATGAAGATGCAGAGTGAGGCCTGATCCGTGGCTTTCGCCTCGTTGCTTTTTAAAAGCATCCCGCTGTGGGTTGCCTTTAAAAATACCAGTGCTCCAATCCCGCCCTCCACCAGTTAATCACGTCTCTGAGGGTGGGCCCACAGTTGTTTTTAAAGCTCTCCAGGTGATTCTAATGGGCACCCAGGGTCGAAAACTACTATAGGCTAAATAATGGAAGATCACTGTCTTTCAATGTGGATGTGGACCGGCGGGTCTCTCAGACGCTGAGAGAAGGGAAACCAGAATGAAAGGGTTTGTCTCCCTCATTTGGAAAACGTCTGTCTGTAGAGGGAACAAGAGTATTCCTACCACAGCCCCAGAGGCCAGAAAAACAAGATGGCAGCCCAGAGAGGCAGGGAAGGGGGGCTTTGAGGTTATCCTGGTCCTTCGGTGTCAGAGTGGAGTTACTTCAGAAGGGAAACCCAGTCAAGTATTTCTCTGCTCAGAACAAAACCTGTATGTTAGTGGTGAGTGTATAGCAGTAAGTAGCGTGAAATATTTTCCTCATTTCCTTTGGTTTTCCCTTAAACTTTAGTAAAATTCTTTTTAAAAATAATTCCTACCATGATTCAGCTGAGCTGAGGGGAAATGAAGAGAGGGTTTTGGTCTGGCTTTGGGCTGGAGTTGTACCAAGGCAGAGGCAGGAGCCTGGGGGGCAGAGCGAGGTCGGGAGGGATCTGTCGGAGAAGCTCAGGCAGAAAGACTGGGGGAGAGAGGCAGGGGCAGCTCTCTCAGCTCCTCGCCCACCTGAAGCTTCTCCTGGCCTTCTCACTGCTCAAACCTTGGAGGGGATGTAGTCACATCCCACCTGGCAGGCAGATGAAGGATCCCCAGCGGGCCCAAGACAGGCTGTGGTAGACAAAGGAAGCCTGCCAGCCGGTCACCTGCAGTGTCGCCTGCTGTCTGGGAAGGCCTGGGTGGTATCAGCAGGATGAGGGAAGGAGCTTCTCTTGATGGCAGCCCCCCTTTCCTGCTCACTTCCAACCCACAGAGACATTTAGGCGGGAAGGCAAAGTAAACAACACCTATTTACTCAGCCAGGGACCCACTCCCCTGCAATGACCTCCCCCAGCACCCCTTCCACGTTCTAAGTGCCTGAGAATCTGGATGAGGCCCTTACTGAGGCGGGCACGGAAAACGATGAGGAGGTGCCACCTCAGGTCCAGAAAGTCCTCACATCCCCTTAGGGAGTCGTGCCCTCATTGTGTCCTCAGGGCAACTGGGTCCTCGAGCTCTGGACTCCTTGCTTGGATGAAGGCACTGTCCCTTCTGATGCAGTGCAGGGACCTGCTCCATGGCAACAAGAGATGGAAGTCCCCCTGGGAACCAGAACTGCCCTGCTCCCCATGCAACAAGATCTCTACCAACCCCCTGTGCCTCTCAGAGGCAAAGCCTCCTCTGAAGCACAGACGCCATCATACAGGGGGTCAGACGGCCTGAGTGTAAGCGCAGGTTGTGCAATTACTGCCCATGGGAACCCAGCTCCTGGCCCACTGACGGCAGCCTCCTATCGGTTGATTGGGACAACAGATGATTCCTGAAGCCTCTGTAAGAGCTGGCTTTGTAGGTCTTCCTCCACCACCTTCCACCAAAAGAAGTTCTCGCCCCGAACCTTCGGGGGCTCATTTTGGATACCTGGATTCCGAAAAGCCACCGTCACCAGCACGTTCAGGCAGATGCCATCGGTTTGGTCTTTGCCCAGGTGCTGCAGTCCAAGCAACCCCTTGGTCTCCACTGCCAAGTGGTGCAGGGTCAGACACTCCTGTAGCAGACGCAGGACGGCCATCTTGATGCCACCCCTCTGCTCTATGGGAGCAAAGCCACAGGCGGTGATGGGCAAGTGAGGCATCCCCACTGTGCCCACCAACACCCACACTGTCTGGACACTGGTAAAGGTGGCTACGAGCCGCTGGCAGACCAGACTGCAGGGAAGCTCTTGGGGCAGAAGGAGAGGGTGCCCGGCTCGCTGGCGATACTGGGCGGCTAGCTCTATCAGATGCAGAATGTCATGGGCTCGCAGCGGGGTGGGCAGCGAGGTTCGTGGGTACCAGCCAGCCTGCAAGGACTCCGCATCTGCCTCCTTGGGAGTCTTGAGAATTCCACCTGGGGGTGATGTAGGTGACAGGGTAGGGGGAAAGGTATTATGTTGAGGGAAGTGCTGGGCCCGGCAGAGTAAAGGGCCACCCAGGGATCTAGCCCTGACCCAGGGGGGGGCCCGAGTCAAGTCCTCAGGCTGGAATCTGGAGATGCCAGGTTTGTACCAGCCAGAACGGGGGCTCATCTCACCTGAGGACAAGCTGGGGAAACGGTGTCAACTGCCCTCTGCCCACACTGCCATCCACTGGGCCATACCTGTGGGGCGAGCGAGAAACACAAAGCGGATCCAGGAGGGGCCCCGCTCCTCCACAGATAGCAACGTCAAAGGCTCACACTGCAGCCCGGCCTCCTCCTTCACCTCCCGCTGCAGCGCCTCCACAATGGTCTCCCTGGGCTCCATCCTCCCCGCGGGAAGGTACCACGACCCACGGCACTCCTTCTTGGCCTCCTGGATCAGTAGCACCTCATCCTGAGGGGAGAGGAAGGATCCTCACCCACCACAGCCGGGATGGGAGCTCCTGGGGAGCAGCACAGCCAGCAGCCTTTGCTTGCCCTGGGTCCCTAACAAATCTCAGCTATAGCTGCTCAATACCCACATTCTGGGGGACACCCTGAAATTGTTGCGCTCTCCAGACGACTGGCCCTTGTGTGTCTGGGGACTGCAGCTGCCTCTGCAATTCATCCTTCTTTGCACTCAAGTTTCCATTTCAGAAAGGGGCTAAGATTCCTGGGAGCTGCTTCAGGGGCTGGACATTAGGCCTCCCAGCGAGGGCTGCCATGTGTCCTGCACTGATTCGTGTCTGCATAAGTCACTGCATATCTCTCACCTCCCCTTGTGGTTTATAAACTGCTTGTCGCCAGTCCTCACACTGGAGTCTAGACTTTGAAACACACCCCAAACCCTCACCCCGTACAACTCCTACCTATGGCTCCGGCCCCTTCTAGCTGTTGTCACAGCCACTTGTACAGGGATCAGCACCAAAAAGAGCATCACAGG